TGAATAAGCAAGCATATTCAAGCATTATGATATATTGTAAAATAATTTGAATAAATTCTTATCTAGGATAACGCTCCACAGATTGTATTCAGCGGTTTCATTAAAAAATATATTTCTAACTTCGGTTACTCGTAAGAAGAAACACGTCTGTCAAAGTTAGGTATAAATTATTCCTGGTTGTGACCAAAAATTCAAGACTGTGTAGTTTCATTTGGTCTCATGCCACCAAGCAACTTGTACGGATGTTTTGATCATTAGTTGGATGTTCGATTTCTACAGATCCTTCCAATAGTTTATTATCGTGTGTTGAATATGAATGCATGACTCATTCGTGTTTAGCACCACACTTCAAATTCATCAAAAACTTTTCGATGTATAGCCTTTGCCGACTGCTTACTATGTTACATGATGAATAATAAAATTACACAGTACAAATGATATGATGGAGTTCCCTCATTCACTATTTAAATACATAGTTGTAAGTTCATAGCTATATTATATACCCTTGTGGGCTAGAGTAATTTTACATTGGTTTTCAGGAGAACCAGAAACCGTCTAGACTTTCACGTGACAACAGTTCACCTCGATCCCATTTAACAGGAGAGCCAAACAACTCAGGCTTAAAATTTGTAGCCCAAATAGTACGGCACAATCCCGTTTCCAGGAGAACCAGACACCATTCAGGATTATATTTTATAATCCGAGTAGTACAGCTCAATCCCGATTCACAGGAGAACCAGGCACTGCATAGGCCTTAACGCTGCAATCTGAATAGTACAGCTCAATCCTGTGACGCAACCACACAGGTACCAAGCTCCCTGGCGGACTATTCGCACCATTCGTATACACATTCACGTCACATGTATATTTACTCTGATCAATGATCGATTATGCACAACAAGAATAGGCGAAAGTTGACCTATTTCGCTTACACGACAGTCAAACTCATTAATGTCACCAATGGCAACATGCCTTACAATATCCCAATCACATTGACCATTGAGAACACTGAAAAGCATCCACCAGTATAAATGAAATGGGTTAGCCAGCAAACCAGTTTTGTGCATGAACAGTCAGCAAAACTTGTCAAATAAATGCCAAACTATCCACAATATCGATGGCGAACCTCCACTCTCATATGAGACCTTCAGCTATAAATAGCAATATAGCTCATACTGCATACAACACATATGCTCGGTAGTAAACAAAATAACCCAGTCTGAAGCGTTAGGGCTTAAATAGCTCTTAAAACCCATTGTCTGGCGTCGGAATATTATTACCAGACCATCAAAATAATTTTTATCGCATTTGTGAAATTTTAATTTTTCCGAATTTTCAGACCCTGAGTTAGGGCTAGTATTCTTACTATTTAAATACTTACTTACTTACTTACGCCTGTTACTCCTCGTGAAGGAGCATAGGCCGCTCACCAGCATTCTCCATCCAACCCTGTCCTGGGCAATCCTTTCCAGCTCCGTCCAGTTCCTATTCATCCTTTTCATATCTGCCTCTATTATCCGACGCAATGTGTTCTTAAGCCTTCCTCTTTTTCGTTTCCCTTCAGGATTCCAAGTTAGGGCTTGCCTCGTGATGCAGTTTGACGATTTGCGTAATGTATGTCCTATCCATTTTCATCGTCTTTTCCTAATTTCTTCTTCAGCTGGAAGCTGATTTGTTCTCTCCCACAAAAGGCTGTTGCTGATGGTATCCGGCCAATGGATGTTGAGTATCTTGCAAAGACAGCTATTTATAAAGACTTGTACCTTCTTGATGGTGGTTGTTGTAGTTCTCCAAGTTTCAGCTCCATACAGTAGAACTGCCTTGACGTTGGTATTGAAGATTCTCACTCCACCTGTAGCTCTTCTAGAGTTACTGCCGGCCCCAAGCCCGGGTAAAGGAGGAGAGTTGGGCATGAAGTTAGCGTCCCCATCCCGTAGAAAACTAACTCGCTGAAAAAACGCCTACCAGAAAAATAATTCAAACCATTTTAACTCTGCCCTGGGAGTTAGAAGGTCTTCTTTTATAAGAATTATGACGCTTCATGGTGAAAGCCGAGTTCCTTCGGAAGCCATGAGGCCGATGTCCCTTCTAACAACCAGAGCAATGTTATGCACCCACCAATGGTAGCAACGACGACATTAAAGATCAATTCTACGAGCGGCTGTAGTCAATCATAGAGAAATGCCCAAGAAAGAACCTCACCATTTTAATGGGAGATCTAAATACCAAAGTCGGAATAGACAACACCGGATATGAAGATATTATGGGACGACATGGACTGGGAGAAAGAAACGAAAATGGAGAAAGATTTGCAAATCTATGTGCATTCAACAAATTGGTCATAGGAGGCACAATATTTCCACACAAGCGTATACACAAGGCTACATGGATCTCACCGGACCACACTACAGCGAACCAGATAGATCATATCTGCATCAACGAAAAATTCCGAAGGACGATGGAAGATGTGAGAACCAGGAGCGAAGCTGACATAGCTTCAGATCACCACCTAGTTGTAGCCAATTTAAAACTGAAGCTAAAAAAGAACTGGACAACTGGATAAACAGCAATACAAAGGTTCAATACAGCCTTCCTTCGAGATACTGACAGACTCAATGAATTCAAGATAGCTCTCAACAACAGGTTCCAAGCCTTACAAGATCTACTGAAAGGAGAAACTACTATGGAGGATAACTGCTCCTAAAGATATGACACTTATCTTGCAAAAATATATCATGTTTTAACTCCCTTCTGAAACATGATGTATTATACGGTGTGCTAATAAAAAGTCGACAATTCAAATACTAACGTTGTGTCAGTTAAAAATCTCTTAATAGCAAGTATGTGATTGGTCAGAAAATAGATCCGATTTCTAGGGAGATTTATATGCACATATTGGTGCTCATGTATATGAGTCCGTTTATCCCTGAGACATTCCAGTTTTACTATCAGTCCTCACACTTAGTAACCTTTTGGGGGTTGACGCTTGAGAAGCCAGTATATTACCATCAGTTTGAGGACATTGAGGGTTGTAACAGTGCAGCTACTGGATTATTATTTTTTTTACGCATGACAGCATGCAATATATTAGACGCTTGATATCATCCATGTCAAGCTTATTCGAAGATTGCGAGGATGCCATAATCATCCGTAGTTTGACAACGCCTTTACCTGTAACGCCCTGTATAATCAAAGTGTGCCAACCCAGTCAAATCAGAAGTCAGAAGTGAAGAGGTTCAAAGTTCTATTTAAAAGGTTACCGTTATCCTGAGAAGCGTTTGATCGAAGCTGGCTAACGGTTGTAGGAGATGTGTTGCATAGTGCACCTGCTTATAATCAGGTGCGAATGCGTGACCAAGCGCCTTCAGCTAGGTGGTCTAAGCACTACTAGGGGTATTACCAGCTTAAATTCAAGTTTACCAACTTATATTTTAAATAAGGAGTTAGTTATATTACCATATTTTGTGTAACATAATCGTTATTCCGATTTATAAGTTTTCACAAGGCATGTACAATTATTTTTATTTAATTTATATACATAGATAAAATGTGGTGTTTTTAACCAATTTATATTCTATTCATAGGTGATAGATAAAATGCCGTAAATACCAAGGTCTAGATAATGTAACATCAAATAGCATCCAGTTAGTTAACAATCAGTTTAAAAGTATAAAAGTATTGATATTTCACTCTCCTCAGTTTTGGGACCATGAATAGAAACAGAATATTTTATGACTTTAAAAAAAAATAAACTTTTGACAAACCGAAAATATTTACAGATAAGTTTCACTCTGAATAAAGATGACATTGGAAATCAGTGAATCATGAATATATATCAATTAGTCATCATCACAATGACAGGACGAATTAACAAGATGAATAATAAGAGTTGAAATAATGGTAGTATTAGTAACAGTGAGAAAGATTAAACAATGAAGAATAAGAATAGAAAACAAGGGATAAATTCAAGGAGCACTTAGGGGCAATATAAAGTCAATGCATCTGTACCATTGTGAGCTGTCAGCCAACGTTTAAAAAATTCTCATCACGGTTATCATGAGGACAAAAACCAGCTAATCTGAAGCTGATAACAAATCTAGACATAAAAATCAATCAATTCGTAGACTGATTGAATGTGTTAATTTGACCTCTAGTTTTCTTTGAACTAGAGGCCTTTAAAAATCAATGTCCACAGTTAACTATAAAAGTATCTTTTGGTTTCTGTAATTGGTGGGCGAACTTTGACAGTAAACCTCCAATTTTATTTCCACCTTTTAATTTCGTCTGTTATTCAAATATATATCTGTGAAGACTTATATGGTAAGAGGTTGGTCTATCAAACTTAAAAAGTTTCTGTTATTTTTCGTAACAGCGCATAATTTTGATTTCATAATATGTAAACCAACAACATTCAAAAAGTGAATTTAGATACAACTACTCTAATTTAGTGCAAAAGTATTATTATTTATTAACTCATTGTACGGTGATGAAATAGCTTTTTGAATATCTTATCCACCCAGGTTATATTACTCTTAATTTAAATTAACTTCACATGTTCAGAATATATATATATATATATATATATATATATATATATATATATATATATATATATATATATATATATATATATATATATATATATATATATATATATATATATATATGGTTGTTGTTATTCATGCTCCTGGCTGCCTGTAGAATATACTTTCCCTCATATGAACCTGAACTTCTCCCTCTAGTTAGCGGGGCTGTACGCATTGGAATAGTTTAGCTGTTTTGTCGTTGTTTCACTGATCCTTCGTTCCGTTCGCCGATTGTTAGGTAATCTCGTGATCTCTTCAAGTATAGTACTGTTGAATAGATTAGTACGCAATTGATGAATTGGACTAAAAACCTACTGTATAATCACGATATGATTGATAAAATACATGCTGTGAATTCCGATACTCTTTCAAAATGAACAGAAAATGTTTTGAATGAGAAGTAAAACAAAGGTATACTGATTGTGTTTTTATTATTACATATACTTCCATATATGTATAAATGGGAAGAAATGAGAAGTACAATTCCATAAACTAAAAAAATGCTTTCTTTCACATTGTAATCAACTATATATAGTGATATTCATGGAACATTCATACACATGTCAAAATTATTGAACATTTTTATGATTTTTAGTTTAGAACGGTGGTGCATTATCTGGCCACGTTCTAGTCAATGGATTTTCACTAAGTAAGCTAATATTTTTTTGTGATAGATCAACACCGTCTACGCCTATTCGTTTAATCCATGACAATAATGAATAAAAGAATATTTGTGAATATGTCTGCTGTCTACAATCTTCTTCATGTATAACTAACAGATTATCTGGTAGAGAAAATGAAAACTTTACCAGAAAATTAATAAGATATAATACTATACACAAGGAAATAAAATATGATAACAATTTCGTGAATATACTACTACATAAACGTTTAGATAAGTATGATGTTGTTCTATACAAAACACTTCTGTTCTGATAATGGGAACAATGAAGTGGAAGAGGTGATGATGATGATGGTGATGTTGAAGGTGAGCTATAGACAGGAAATAAATGAAGTTTATTATTACGCATAAATGGTAAACTGTTTTGTAATAGTTTTTTTTGAATAAATAATTTACAGTGATCATAGTTGTTTCTAAATACAGTATTAATTGAATAACGTAATGAATTATTACGATGATCATCATCATCACCGTCAAGATCAAGATCAGAAGCACCATTATTGTCATAATGTTTATTGGCGCAATTGATTTCACAAATATTTCTGTTCAATATTGTAGACATTTGATTCAATGGTGAATTTATTAATAGTTCATCGTTTAAATGAACATTTCTTTTGTAAGATATTTTAAATGTATTTTTTATATTTATTTTACCTGATTTATAAGAAGTACTGATGATACAAATACAGTTTGGTGAATGCATGAAATTACTGATGATAGTTGTATTGATTGGAATGATCGATTTTTCCGACATATTTTGCATTGAATTCATTAGATTAAAATGAAGTTGAATTTGTCTAATTTTGTTGTTCGATAATTCTGTCAGACGATTGTTGAAATTAGACTGTTCATTATTATCATGATGAAGAACAGGATAAGGATAAAGCTGTAAATCAGTTATTTGTTTTAGATCCAATAATTTTGTTAAAGGTTTTGTATGGACATTATGTACACTTTGCATTTTACTCTCAATAGTTAATAAATCGTTATTTTTCAAAATGATGTTATTATAATTTGGTTTCATCATAGCAATTAAGTATATTGATTTAGGGGTTTGATGAATACTAGAAAATTGTACGAGAAACGGAAGATAAAATAAATTCATCATATAAGTGTATAAATGTGCATACACATACAAAGCAGAATATCATAAACAATGTAACTGCTAATACAACACTGAAAAATACAGTAAGAAATAACCGAACGATTACGTAGAAAAAGTGACTTCGTGTTTGCGTTAATCAACCACAACACAATAGTTAACAAGATTGTTTTACATCTGACTAATAAGTTAATGAGATCTTAAACAAAAAACGTAAATTGAGTTTAATACTGTTTTAATATCTGAATGATTAAATGTTACACTGACTAGAAAACTCAACAGATTAAAAAGGGTTTTATTGATGGCTTGTCGAATGGTCTGTTACATTAAATATTAAACAAACTGAGTTAAAAGAAGAGAAAACTATGATATTTCGTTGAAGTTATTCTAATAAAAATATTTTTTTCATCAAGGTTTAACTTTATCTAGAAAGTTATTATGAATGAAGAAGTTTTGGGAGTGCCCTAAAAAGTCGGCATCCTAAGATCTTATACATGATTGGAATTAAGATAGCCTTCAGGTTTCAAGATGATCACGTTGTATCTGCACTACTGAGTCGGAAACCACATTTTCAACTTTGATGGTCACTTCATAACCTGTCGACCTACACTGTCTATTGACTGAAGTTAGAAATGTTAGGTGATTACATTGCAAGAGATGATGGGCTAATCTTGAGACTTCAGTTTACTTAGTTTTATATGGGAACATAAATGCACCCAGTTGAGAATTACTTAAAATATAATCAAACATCTGTTTGGCAATCCTCAGTTTTTGATGGTTTTTTAACTGGCTAGTATCAGTAATTCATTACAACAACCAACTTTCATCAGTTAAATCAATCACCGTTAGTTTAGAGAAATTTTGTAAATTGTCGCTCTCTATCTTTAAATGATTGAACTTTGAAATCTGAACTATTGGATTCCAGGCTCAATGGATTAAGGCTTAGGGGGTTGTGGTAAGGTCTGAAGATACTGGATGTGATCACTGATGGGGTCATAGGTCATTACTACTAGGAAGCCTCCTACTAGGACGAAACAATTATAGAATGCTACCTAGTTTGAAACAGGTGTTTAAATAAAGTCAGTGTCTCTAAAGTAAAACTATGACATTTTTACAAACCATTTAACTAAATATTATTCTCATGTTTGCAGTTTCTCTCTTGATTGTTACAATTGAATTACCAAGTAAGAGAGATGAAACCTAAATTTCGTAGCAAACCAACATTTTTTAGCATAAAAATACGGCTTGTGGTAAAAGAGAAAAACTTACGTCATGTACGACTACCAATAAAAAGTAATCAGTTATCACGTATAACCTAATTAACATAATTTATTAGTTAGAATGATCAAAATAATTCTAAGCAATTTTGTCAGTCACAACGTGGAAACTCCACGTATGTACATCGGTTCAAGTTACCATACCCCATTAGCACACCGAAATGAAGTTGTCAAGCCAAATCTCAAAATAGTAGAGGCAGTAACAGTATCAGTAGAAATAGGGAAGATTAGGTATCAGAGATGTGACTCGAAAAAATATATATAAATTAGTAAAATTAAAACGTTGTGAGGAATTTAGAATCTCAGAATTTGGGGGAAAAACAAGGAATGGATGCATCTGAGATATTGTAAATGATTTCAAGCCATGCCATTCAAAGTCTCTAACCATTGGTCATGATAATCACGCGGAACCCAACCAGATAATCTATACCTATTAACATAGCTGAGTCAAATTATCAGTGAATTCATGAACTGAGACCATGTTTTGGTTTGGCCAGACCATTATTACTGATAAGACGTTTAAGATATATGAAGCGGTCGATGCGTTCAACTACTTCACTCCCTATCAATAATTTGGGCAATGACGCAAGTCAATCCTGAAGTAACATTTTATATTCGGAGGTAGAGAACCACATCACAAACGTGCTCCCATTGTTACTTAAGGTGGTCAGAAAAATCTGTATTTTGTCAGCGTTTTCATCAAACAAAACTAGATCATCTGTGTATTTTAGGTCAGTAAGTGGATCTCCAGGTAGAAGATGAACTGAAAATTCAAACGATGAAAGTATTATCTATAAAAGCATGTCTATGACAAAGTTAAATAAAAATGAGTAAAGCAGACAAACTTGATAAACACTAATTGATGTAAAATCATTCGATAAAAAGATATTAATAATTTTATGTTGAACACAATAATCCAAGCAAAAATGAATTATAAAAACGTGCATTGACGTTAAGCAAAAAGAATTGTGCAAATTAATAAGAAATACCATGCAGAGACAATTAATTACTGAATTACAGTAGTATGAATTAAAAATTTTTTTACCAAAGAGTGAACAAATTTAAACGGCAATAATTAATAATAATAACACTGTTGGATGCCGGTTCAGTGGTCTAGAGGCTAAGCGTTCATGCGCGAGATCGAAGGTCCTTCGTTCAAATCCCACGTACGATATCATGGATGCGCACTACCGAAGAGTCCCATACTAGGACAAAACAGCCATCCAATGCTCTCAGATTTTCAATGGTGGTCTAACATTGGTCGGTTTAAGATCTCAATTACGACTCAACAATCTCCACAACCCCATACTGATAATAATAATAAGTCACATGTATACAAGTATAAAATGAAAGATAAAAAAAATACAATTAACAAACACCAAACACGAATATATGCATTATTTGTTGACATGTATGTAAAGCCACAGAAACGATATACAGAACAGAGATGGGAGAACAACAACAACGAACTGTAACAATCACAATAAATTATGTTTACTTGTTTAACTCATCTGATGGTAAATTATAAACGATAAAGTTGTTTAATTGTGAATTGGCTAAAACCTAATTTTTGTACGTAAGAATAAGAAAACGAGCATCTCAGTTATGTTAATAAATAATAGTAATAATAATAATATTAGTGAAGTGTTATCGGTAAATGACATTACAAGAAGAAAACTATAAATACAATAAGCAATCACAAAAATAACATGAATTCAAATCTTCTTTCTCTAGAAAATATCTATTTGTTCAACATTTCAGGTACAATTTGTTGAGTAATGTTAAGCAATAAGTACGGAATACAAGTTAAAAATGAACCTATAGGGAGGTGTGGATAAAGCGGCTACTACCAATTACCTTTCATCATTCAATACATACTAGATGTAATACAATAATATTATTAAGTCATTAACCTTCACGATCACAGTGACAAATATGTTACGACTAATTTAGTTCCGTTTAAATGACTAAAAGTTAAGATTGAAATGAATACGTTTATCAATTAGTACACTTTAAAAGTAATCAGGTTTTTTCTCAGTGGGAAGAGGAGGAGGGTAATGTTCAATAGTCCAAGAGCAGAAAGTCATGAAATCAACTGATACAAAACATTAAATTAAGCAACAAGTCATATTTCCTATTTCAAAAAATACCATTAAATTTAAAATGTATGTCAAATGATCCGATCAATGTAGGAGGTAGAAAACCAAGCTCATCGATAGCAAAACACATGATTGAGACGGGGCACAAAATTAACATTAATACAACATTTAGAATGTTGTACAGAAATTGTCAAGAACGAATTCTTAAGTTTATTGAAGCTTTGGCTATTCGTAAATTTAAACTCCCCTTATGTGTACAAAAAACAATTTGTCGTAACCTTGAATTTATCTTGGTAATCCTTAAGTCATTCTATGGTGTAGGATAACGCGACAATTCCTTATTCTTTCTCTCCCCTTAGTTATTTTAATTGTACTTTTATTTGTTTGACCTTTATTAATTTTCATATAGAAATGCCCTGACAAGTATATGTGTGACCAGATTGTTCGAAATGTATAGCGCAAATACATCACATTTTTCAGATCAACTCCGTCTTCTCATTGTTTTATCGAAATTTAAAATAGCTAAACACATAAATGGAATTCAGTTTTGTTTAAAAGCTTACACACAACCTATACGATAAGACTTGAAATAAAGTCTAAAGCTTTATTTGTCAAAGTAGATTGTAATTGTAGTCAGTTAAAAATTGTTGAAAAACAAATGATGAACTGTATCTTTATTCATTTCATTTTAGATTCTTGAACTGTTTCAAAGATGTTTGTTGAAACAAATGGGGTCATGTAAACAAGGTTAAAATATAATTATAATAATATTCAAAAACGATATATTTTAGCTATTTGCAAAACAATTAAATCCAAATCATTTCTGATTGTCAAAAGGTTTCATTAGATGTGTACACTTAGATGCCAACCTAGTGGTATAATGGTCAAGAGCTTGATGTAAAACCGGAAGGTCCTGAGTTTCATCATTAGCAGGGTTTATGAGTATGCATTACTGAACAGTTCCATACAATAAATAAAAATCCATCTAATGCTCCTTGGTTTCCAGTGGTATTCAACTTGAGATGAGTATGTGATAAATACTATCTGTAAATCAAACCAATCTTTACAAAAACTCCATCTTTCAGTAATAAATCAAATGTTCCCAAATGGAAGCTAACAAAACTTGCACACAAAAATGAATAATTTTTTCTGATTATATTTTAGATTGGCGTTCAGTCCGTTTTTCATTTCATTTCTGGACTTTTCAACCGAATGCATATACATTCTTATAGTGATGTTTACGGTAGAACTTGAATACAGTACCCACTCACCTCTTCAAATTCTAAAATATTATTCACTAAACTACTGAATTAAGATGATAACTATCAGTTGTTCAATCTAGATAAGAGAGTTAATATGCTTCCCAATGTTGGTTATTAGGATTCATATTGATGAGTTCCAGTTCATATATAAACTCTATGTAGCTTAAAGTATGACTTTTAAAATAATCTATAAAATGTATATCCTGAATTCAAAAATGACCGTTATTTTCTAAAATTTAATTAGCTTACAAATGGAGGAGAATATGAAGATACTAGGTATTTAAAAAGTTCATTAACCGGTATAAACTGATCAATTCAGAGATGAATATTAATAACAGGAAAATACAAAACTTTACATAATAAATAGTTATTATGAAAGACAAATATTTCATCTTTAATAATAATAATAATAATAATAATAATAATAATAATAATAATAATAATAATAATAATAATAATAATAATAATAAACGTAACTAAATGAAATCTTACCAAATCTATATCCAATATATTTGAACGATTGTTTTTCTATTAGGCAAAAAAAGAACAATAAATAAAGTTAGATAGAACAAATCATCAGTTTCAATATTCAATGATGGATTGGGGAAAAAACAACTGAGATCATGATTCAATTCAGTATGATTTTTGGCTCAATAATAATGCTTTATGAAGTTTATTCATTATAATATTCTTTTTACTAATTCATTATGAAATTTTTTTCAGTATAATATAGAATATGTGTTTTGTAGTAGTTCAGTATAATATCCATTACCATATTGTTGTTCATTTTTTTCATGTCTGTCTCCGTTTCTCCGAGTAATGTGTTCTTTGGTCTTCCTTTCCTCCTTTGATCTTGAGGATTCCAAGTGAGAGTTTGCCTTGTGACGCAGTTGAGTGTTTTCCTCAATGTGTGTCCTATCCACTTCCAGCGCTTCTTCCTTATTTCTTTCTCCGCTGGGATCTGGTTTGTTCTCTCCCACAGTTGTTTGTTGCTGATAGTGTCTGGCCAACGGATCCGAAGTATTTTGTGTAGACAGCTGTTAATAAACACGTGTATCTTCTGGATGATGGCTTCCATAGTTCTCCGGGTTTCCACCCCATACAGTAGAACTGTCTTGACATTCGTATTAAAAATTCTGACTTTGGTGTTGGTTGACAGTTATTTCGAGTCCCAGATGTTCTTCAATTATATTTTCGGTCTAATACGTGATATTCGTTAACTACTTATTAAACGTTAATAAAAATCGATAAATAAATATATTTGCTCAAAGTGGTTGTCTTGAATTTTTGGAGGTTAAATAAGGTGCTTATCAGAAATCAGTGATAGTTTTCTTCTTTGAGTCATAGAAATTATAGTTTCCTACTATTCTGAGATCAGTTTTCCCACGGTTATAACAAGAGTAAATTGTGTTTTACGCAAGTAACATAGAAGAATTATTGAGAAAAACAAGGTTAATTATGTACTGATTAAAGAAAAAAACATAAAGAATCTTTATACAATTTTCCCCATTGATAAATTTAAATAAAGAAAGAACAATGAACATAGTACGGTATATGATGAATTCATTCATTTCGTGGATTCTAGTCAGCTATTTACAATTAAGAAACAATGATAATAATTATATGCAACTAATATACATACTTTATATCATTATACTGATGTGTGGGCAAGAATGATTGGTTGTCTGTTTAGTCAGACAGGTGTCATATGATTATATATTCCTTTATCCTTATTATTATTATTATACTCACTTATTATTGATTGTTCATTGTTGTTGGATTGTGTCGGGTTTCGGTGTAGAAATATATTTACGTTGTGTCCAGGCTAATCACGTGTTCTTGATCTGAGTTATGTTGAAGTCCTGTAGAATAAACACTGGGAGGGAACCTAGTGTAGATATTCGTCCAAGATAAATTGACGTGGAAACCCAACCGTTATAACATTAGACGAAGTAAAACCAAGCGTTATAACGTATACTAACGAAGATTATTGGAATAATGACATGAAATATGGAAGTATTATATAATGGTAAAGTGAATATATATTTATCTGTTACTACATGGGAAGATTTTAGAGGGAAAATTTTAAAACACACAGAGACATGTTTCTAGAATCCATGAAATAAATAAGTTCATGTTATCCTGTTATGCTCATTGTTCTCACTTTATTTTAATGTAGAGAATTATTGAAAACTGTGAAAGACTATATAATAATAATAATAGTCAATTTGTACTAATCTAATACGATAAAACAGTGATAGTACTCGCTCGAGTAATTATTACTTATATACTAAATAAGTAAACTAGTTAAAAAGAACATGACACATGATACAATGGATATAAGTAAAGGTTAATAGTTAATAATATTAAATAATATATTTAAATATAGAATCATGATGATGGCAATCACTTAATTAGTTAAAAGTATCATAGAACCATAGTACATTAAACATAATACAATGAAATGATCAAGATGATAATCAACTAGAAAAGAAAAACTCATTTATATTATATTGAAACACTGATTTCCAATTGAAAAAAAGAACATACATTTACCTTTATCAATGAAAAATGATGAGATTCAAAGCATTCTGAACTACTACTACTACTATTATCATTATCATCATATAATTGTGAATTAGATTTCATTATATAATCATCTTTAATTAATAATGATAAATCAATATATTGATTTTCCATAATAAGATGATTAGTAATATTATATAAAGAATAATTTTTATTATTGATTATTGATAATTTATTATTATTATTATTATTTAAATATGTAAATAATTGATAACATTTTAAACATAAATTTTTATTTAAATTTAATAAATGAAAGAAATTTATTTGAAATTTTACAAGATTAATTTTCAATGAATTAACATTGACATCATCATTATCATTATTATTATCATCATATTCATTAGATTGTAATAATATATTATCTAAGATAAAATACCAATCATTCTTTTCATTATCTTTTATTAACATTAATAATAAAGTTGTATAATTAAGCCAATCAATTAATCGTAATTTAATTGTATACAATAATTGAGCACATGATAATAATTCAGATAACGAAGATGATGATGATGGTGATGTTGATGATGGTGATGTTGATGATGATGACAATGTGGAAGAGAATAATGATGATCTTGTCGTTGATGTGATAATGGATTCTGATGATTTATTTAATTTTTTTTCAATATTGAAACTTCCTTGTTCTTTTTCATTTTCATTATTAGTAGGAAATATAATATGGATATGTTGAAAATAATAATCTAAACGATTTTTTGTATAAGTTAAATGTTTTTCAAATTCATAAATTAAATAGTTTAAACTTTTTTCATAAATAAATTTCTAGGGATTTTTAAAATAAGAAAATAAATAAATGTAAAGAAAGATCTTGGAAATGACAATAATAATAATAATAATAATAATGGTGCAATCAAGGGTCAATGAACATGTGCCTAGATGGCTACAAAATTAATGTGTATCAAATGATCCGATCAATGTGGGAGTTAGAAAACCAGGTTCATCGATAGCGAAATGTATAATGGAAACGAGGGCACAAAATTGACATTAATATAACTTTTAGAACGTTGTATAGAAATTGTCAGGGACGAATTCTTAAGTTTATTGAAGCTTTGGCTATTCGTAAATTTAAACTCCCCTTATGTATACAAAAAACAATTTGTCGTAACCTTGAATTTACCTTGGTAATCCTTAAGTCATTCTATGGTCTAGGATAACGCGACAATTTCTTATTCTTTCTCTCCCATTTGTTATTTTACTTGAACTTTCGTTTAATTGACCTTTATTAATTTTCATATAAAAATGCCCTGACAAGTATATGTGTGTGACCAGATTGTTCGAAATGTATAGCGCTAATACATCACATTTTTCAGATCAACTCCGTCTTCTCATTGTTCTATCAAAGTTTATAAAAGGGACTAATTGCTTTAAATAATGGTGTGATTTGAATGTAACCTATTTATAAGCTTTATTACTTTTTGTATGATATAATTATTAAGTTCATTAATTAAAGATAATCAGTATCATATTTTGAGTTTAACTTTTGATGTAATTGGCATATTTTAGTAGCGTATAACTGTAATCTTTAGGAAAATGATACTTCTGATGCGGACTCGAACCTACACATCATTTATTCTTATAATCTAGAAGAAATGTTACTATTGAGTTATTTCATCAACGATTGAATGATATTTACTTAGAAATCATAATGTACTTTTATGTATCTCGATTTATAGCAACAAGTGTCCAATATCTACAGATTATATTATTTTCTGGTTAAAACACTTTGATTCAGATTGATTTGAAAGGTTCGAAATTTGGGCTATGACCAAGGGAGATGATGAGGATGCTAACATTGTAGCACATTTCCTCACACATTAAAAACTCTGGCTTTACCGGAAAAGCCCATTGCGTTTTCTTATGCAACTTTCAAGGATCTACTGCTAGACTGTGTTAAGTATACAAATTTCGAATGCGGTGAAGGAGGAAGATTTCATAAAACGATTCATGAGGATAGAAAAAATTCCACTACATTACGTTATCCCAATCCAGTGCATACTCAAGGTTATGTAGATATTTCATTGAGGAGTTGCGATGCAGTTCACGAAGATGGGCACAAGTTTGCTCAATGTTTGTCCTGTGGAAGGTTCCACTCTTTGAATTCATGTAAATTTCGTAATTCTAAGTGCTTTAAATGTGTTGATATTGGACATATTCAGTCAGTTTGTAATACTACTATTCATCTTGCTGCAACTAATATTAAGTCTTGTAATTCTGATTCTATTAAGTTGAGCATTTATAATGATCATTTATCTTTATCAACGATTTCAATAGACAGTGTAGAGTCATATAGCAGTTCAGAGTTAAATCAGATTCAGAATTCTTGCGAGACAACAGTTTCTAATCAATCGACTTATCAGATTTCTCATATTATTGTACCAGATATGGTTTTTCCTAATGATTCACTTATTTCTGATGGAATTCCTTACAAATCTAAGGAAAATATGTTGAATGAACCTAGTCATGATCGAAAACCTGATGTAGTTTTGGTAGATGCTGATTTTTCTAATGATCCTTTACTCTGCAGTGACATTCCTAATAAATTCAAGGAAACTATTTCAGAAGAGTCAAAGCTTGATGTCATACCAAATATTATTTGTCCTCATAATGCATTTGTTTCTTGTGGGAAACTTGTTCAATGCGATGCACAAGTACTAAATGAGCTCGATTTTGATTACAATTCGAATGATTTCATATTAACTGTTGTTTATCCTTATCACAAAAACACTTCTAATGTTTACTCTAACTAATGTAAGAAATTTATTTTAAATGAAGCCACATCATTCATAAATTGGGGATATAAAGATTCAATATTATTTCGTAGAGGAGAATAGTCTAAAAGTCTATGGTTCAAATTCTAGGTAGCAGCGGTTTCAGTATACAACCAACATGCTGATTACAGAGAATTAAAATAAGTAATATTGTTCTAACATAACTATAAAAATATCGATCAATTTATAGTATTCTTTATTTCATTCTTATAAGAAATCATAGTTTAAATCTAAATAATATAGATAGAAACCTATTTAGATAATCGATTTATTTTTATGTATTTATGTGTGCATGTGTGTATGTATGTGTGAGTGTGTACAGATATATACATGAGACATTAATCAATAAGAGATTAATGCACATTCCTCGATTATCATTTGAAATATACCAATTAGTTATTAAAAACAAAAATTGAATTTATATTTGAACGATAAATAAACTTAAATATTCAATGTTTAGTTAAAAGTGTGTGTGTGTGCTTCTTTGTCTTAAAAAATAAAAAAAAAGGTTTTGTCTAATAGTAATAATAATAATAATAAAGTAGACGGAATAATGTATAGAGTGACCTATTTTACAAAAATTAAAACTATGCTTTGTACTTATTTGATTATCAGGATAGGGAGGGGGGTGGAGATTGTAATAATTTTAATGGTTAGATTTATTAGTCGATTTAAGCTGGACTACCATTGAAAACCTAGAAACACCTGATGGGTGTTTCATCCTATTATGAGATTTCTCAGCAGTGTATATCTATAATCCCACACGTGAGGTTCGAACCCATGACCTTCAGTCTCACGTGTGAATGCTTAACCTCTCTAGACTACTGAGTCAGTATCCGACGGTGTTAATGCCCATCCACCATTGTCTTCAGTGAGTAACTATCTCACAAGAGACACAATTGAATTCTACTGGTCAAAGCTTCTCAATAGAACTCCAGGAAATTCGTTTTGAAATCAGTCACTAGTGAGCACATGATGATTATTATCAGAATGGGTTTTTTCTAGTAATTTCAATGCTTGAATTCATGAGTTCATTTACACTAGACCACTAATTGATTAGACTGAAAGAATTTAAAAAGTTTTTTTTAGATCATTCAAATATTAATTAATTAAAATTTATTCAGTTGTTAATTGATGTAGTTGACTGATTGAAATCCAACCATATTGAGTTACAAATTCTGATTAGGTTCTCTTTAATTATAAAATCTTGAGAGTTGGATATTATAATCAAATTTATGCAAAAAATTCTGTCTCAAAGCCAAGTATTTGAAACTTTTTTTTTACCAAGTGAATCAATAATATTAAGGTTATCAGTTGACAATAAGTTTATGAATCAAAACCGGTTTTATCAAGTAGAAATTATTGTTGTATTTAATCTAGTTTGCACTGTATAGTAGAGATCTATTAAAACCTTTACACTCTATAAACCACTCTATAAACTATATTCCTTAAGATAATCTTGAAAGATTATTCACTTCAAATGATTACCAAGTTCAAGAGACTAGATATAACTAAGCCAGTTTACTTTTTACCAGTAATTACGGAATAGGTAAGAAGTACTCGGGTACACTGAATTCCAAATGACTGACTGTGTAATGTACGGATAACAATATCAGATTGCTCATCATAAGTGTTAACAGTTTCTGGTGAGTTAAAAGCGATTATAAGTAAGTATATTAGAAAAAAATAATTTACGACCCAAAGTCTTATTGTTTATTTTAATCGATCTAATACGAAGAATTTAGAGATCTGGAACTAAAAAGTCAATCAGTTTAAGCGTCAGACGACTTTCCATAAGGAGATTTATCATCAAAGTCTCATATATTGAGATATACAACGTTTCAATGCAGTGAGCAGTTTTTATCTTAACTAAAAATATCAGTGATGAAATCAGTTATTATTAACGCATAAAAGTAGAAGCTACGACAATGTGAAACACATTCTTGTACTATTTTTAAACGTTAACCATTCAAACAAGTAAAAAGTTAATAAGTAGACCACATATGGTTAGACACCATTTTTAAAACATTTATTTATAATTAGAGAAAGAATCTGAAACCTGTGAGAGAGCCCAACTGAAACTCAACACACAATATTCTTACAGGTGATCAGAAATTGGACAGTAGTCCTTAAAGTTAATCATCAGTCTTGACGAACAACAAACATAAATGATGAATTCTTCACTTGACCTATACATAATAGGTCATCAGGAAATCATTGTACTCATGACACTCGCGAATTTTTCGTAAAACATTCTCATTAAAATCGTGTTAGATTTGTTTGCCGCGTTCTGAATCATGGATGCTCATTGCCAAGAAGTCCTGTACTAGGGCGAAACGACCATCCAGTGCTTCCAGGTTTTCAATAGTAGTCTAACTTAGATCGGTTCATGATTTCAATAAAACCGAACGATTTCCATAACCCTATACTGATAAAAAAATTCATTCAATCAAATTACTTACATATTGTAGTTTCGAAATCCATTTTTTTGTACCTACAATCAGTTTTCGCCAAACAATATGCAATTCATTCAATAATTCGTCTTGATTAGTGGTAACAACAAGCGATGTACTGCTACTTGGTACAGTTGACTTCAATAGAGATTTCGTAGAATTTATTCGAAAATCATAAGCTTTAAGTTGACCCAAGAATTTTATCAACTGATCGCATGATGTAGCCAAATGAGCTAATGATAATGATTCACCAACTTGATTAACAGAATGAACACTCTTATCGTCGTCGTCGTCACCATCATCATGATATGCGTCCAGTTCATTTAAATGACGCTCCACTTTGATTAGACTCAGTTTAACTTGAGACAGTAAATCATACACATCAGAATTCGATTGAAATGTTTTAGTGACAATAGTCGACGGATTTGAATACAATTTATGAACGGGATTGTGTTTAATAGGACTTCTTTTATTACTTATTAAAGAAGAAAAGCAAACAAGCACAAAAAGTTGATATTTTAAAACGTCAATAAAAAAATTGGTAAACACAACAATGTTTACAAGCGGGTGCTGGTTAATTTAACATTCGGTTTATTTAGAGGTTATGATAAGATGATCATTCTAGTCAGTAGTAAGATTTAGATTATGGGTGATAAGCATTGAATAGAGTATTTAGATCGGGAGTGATACATGCCGTAAAGATCCTTCAATTGTTCTTTAGGGTGTCTAGGTGACTGATTCATGTCGTCCCATAAGGTATATGGTAAATGTGACTTGTTATTGTACACTCCGGCGTGTAATGATTGCTAGCATAAGAGAAGTGGTCTAAAAGAAGGTTAAAGTGAGTGAATAAACCAAGACGTGGCATCAACTTGTAGGAAGCTACCGAATGTTGAACCAAATTCGCAGTTGAAGTTTTAGAGAAAATCACAATCTACGATTGGAGGTATTAGATGTTAGGATCCAAAGTCGGCTGTAGAAGTGGTGTAGATACTTTTATTCGCTATATGCTTCTAAATCTCAAGTTCCAATATAAGTTCCATCACATCAGGTTAGTTGGAGATCAATAAGAAAGTTAAGTCGAGCTGTTAAATCTCCCAGTGTTCATGACGGTAGTGTGGTGTTTTGTATATGTGTAAACAGAACGAAAATAAGATTTGACCGATAGATGTCATTAACCTTAAGAGTAATCCAATGAGAATCATCAATTCTCATTCAGTTCTCAACTTACAGAAGAATACTTGTTATTGAATAATCCACGTACATAAAAATCTTTTGTGAATATATAAACTTAAAGAAAGCAACAACATTACAGGCGGGAAGAAAATCAAAATAAAGCCTATCGTCATTACTGTGTACTTCGCTATGTTTCTGCTCATAAACCAACTCAGTCACTCCACTCTATTTTTTGCAGGCCGAAAGACAAATTCAATATCATTTACAAAACAAGTGGTACAAATTGTGATGAACACTACACTAGACACCATAGACGCTATTATCATCTATGCATACACAAACGGAAACTATCAATGAAACAACACAGTATGTTATCGTTGATATCAATCAATGTAGACAACTAAAAACATAAACTCAAATGGAAGAATATAGAAATTCTGGATTGTGGGGATTCAGATCAATCAACAATCAACAAACAAACCGATTTAGACCTAATCTACAAACCTGTTTGAAAAAGGTCAATCAATAAACTGGCCGTTATCGTAATTATCAACTGCACAGAATAAAGGCCATATAGTGTAGGGAGGCGGTGGTAAGTAATGTTTATCAAAACTTACTCATCAATAACTATTTTTGAAGTGATGTCATCATTATCAACAGAATAATCTGTTGACTTTGCAGTGTATGATTTGGAGACTAGCTGTTTATTCTTTGAATATATCAATAATAACGCTGATGATGACAACGATGATGATGTTGATGAAGATGGCTCAGTGATTAATAAATCAGATGATTTTCTTGATATTAAGCTGCTATGTTTCTCTTTTAAACAAGTATTATCAAAATCTATTTGATCAGGAACATTTGATTGGATTTCTGTGACAAAAATTTAGAAAAGACAATGTTTTATTTTCTTAAATGAAGACAATATTTTTGTAGACAAATAATTTTCGAATTGAATAACAATTGAAGTGAATTGATTCATTATTTGGAAAAATTCTATGGATAGGCTTAATACAAGTGAACTGAAAAAAACGGAGTAGTTAGTTTAGTAAAAGTATAGCTGTGTAAACACAATTTAGCGAAAACCTGAGAACATTTGTCAGATATTTCACATTTATATCAAGTGAGATGGAGCTTCAATACTGGTTTACATTGAAACTTTTTTTTAACAGTGAAATAAAGTGAATTATTTCAGTGAACAAACAAGAAAATGTTTAGAAATTTCTCCAGTAATAGGAATATGGTAGATTGTACATAGTTCAGTCTCAATATTTTGTGGTCAAAACATATAATCAATGTAGTTAACTAAAGTAAAAACCATAAACACAGCAGGAAATATGATGAATTTATTCATTTCGTGGATTCTCATCATTTGTTTACAATTAAGAAACAATGATAATAATTATTTACAACTAATGTATATACTTTATATCATTATACTAACGAAGATTAATAGAATAATGACATCAAGCATGGAAGAATTATAGAGAGGTAAAGTGAATAGATATTTATATGTTACTAAATGGGAAGATTCTAGAAGGGTGTGTTTCCAAAATCAATGTTTAAGTTACTGAATAACAACTATTAAAATAGTGTAGATTGACAGAAAAAGACGAACAAAACTCAAGAAATGAACTAAGAATCTTTATTAAAATGACATAAACTATGTATATTGATTGTAAATAATATGTACTAGTGTTTATTGGATGTTAGCGATTGAAGGGAACTTCAAAATGAATGAATCTATCTTATATACTTCTATGTTTATTGTTCTTGCTTCAATAAAATTCATCAATGGGAAAATAGCCACTGAAGTTGTACTAATCTACAGGTGCTCTAAGACGCTAAATCGACTACTTGGTTGTTTTTATGTATTAAAGTGTTTGTGTTTATCTGATCTTCGTTGATATCTCTTTTCACTAAAATACTTCATCTTTATTGACTCATTTTAATAGGTGGATACGTTTTTGTTCTGATGAGAAATGTGTTATAAAATGTATCGATTATATTATATTCAACGTTCTATTCTGTCCCTATCGGTATTGATTGTACCACTATAATACATGGTTGAATCAATGACTACAGTCGAGTGATTTTATCACTGAATAATAACGATTCAATCAAAATTATTAGGCCGCAGCACTGAAGTAAATTAATTTCATAGGCCATATAATCTATATAGGCAGATATATAGATATAATTTACGACCTTAAGTGAATTTGGATTCACTAACGTAGGTTCGAGCCCATTGTATTTATCTTGATTAAAGCAGCCAATGAATTACATTACTGGTTTAAAATTACCAGTATATGCACGTTGAAGAACATATGGAAATCAAAATAACTGTCCGTCAATCAATATAAAAGTTAGAGTCTTCAACACAAACGTCAAGATAGTCCTACCATATGGAGCTAAAACTTCGAGAATTACCACAACCATCATCAAAAAGGTACAACTATCTACAAACAGTTGTCAACGTACGATACTCAATGTCTGTTGACCGGATATAATCAGCAACAGCCTAATATGAGAGAGAACAAAGGACCTTCCAGCTGAAGTGGAAATTAAGAAAATAAATAGGAAGTGGATAGGGCACACACTGTGGAAATCACTAAACTGCATCACGAGGCAAGCGCTTACTTGGAATCCTGAAAGGAAACGGAAAACAGGAAGGTCAAAGAACACATTGCGTCGGGAATCGGAAGCAGACGTGAAAAGAATGAATGACAACTGAAAAGGATTGACCAGGACAGAGCTGGATAGAGAATACTGGAGGGTGGCCTATGCTCATGTACGAGGGGTAACAGGAGTAAGTAAGTATGTTGACTTTGCTTATAGTATAAATATCGATTAATGATGGGAGAGATATTCGAAATGCAGCGTGTGATGTTCTGTTTGCATATATAAATCTTGCCATGCTACAATGACCGAATGAAGCCTTAGACGTTGGTCAAGATTATAGTACTCGTTCTCCTGACGATTAAACTTTAATATCGATAGAAATGAAGAACGAGTATTTTGACCTACATTTCCGAGGAATTAACTATTCGTTCAAATCTTGACGAACATTCATATCAAGTTAAACATGCTTTCAAAATAAAGATAATAAAAACATAAATAAATGTTATCAAATCCGATTTTACGTGGTTATAGTCAATAATGTAGTGTAAAATAGATTTATCAATTCTACAATGTTTTTTTCTTCATCTATCCAAAATGATGCTCTCAATTGTGTTGGTTATCGTCCTTTGAAGAACGAGTTGTACAAATAGATAAACAACAGTAGTTGAATAAGTTTATGCATGCCGAGTACTTTGTTCTGTACTCAACTGTGCTATGGTTGGCAATAATTATGTAGCACTGATATTATTTGTGATATTAAATAGAATCTATTAAAAAATATATACATATGTCTCTCTTGAATTGCAAAACTGTTATCTATATGTAATATGCAATCCTTATCTACGGGTATTTGGAAAATACTATGAAAGTGTTAATAACACAAAAACATTACCTTTATTGGATGATCTCACAGTTGTTATTGACGAATAATCAAACTCCGCTTGAAATAATGATGGAGACATCGGCTTGATATCATTTTCGGGAGTAATATCCTGTATTGTTAAATAATTCAATAAAAAATTATTCATTATTGGTAATTGGTTATGGTGAATAAAAGAGAATGGGGTGTACGTTTTAATCAAGCTGAAACCATTTGATACAGTTGTAATTTCATATCCAGTCAAATCATCAGGGACCAATTGAGGGAGACAAGCGAGTGTAAAAGATAAATCTTCATGATAAATTTCTACAGCATAAAAGCATAGACAAAGAGTCCGTAGTGTACCTGTTCGTCTGATTACTGAGTATTTATTTGAACCAACTTTGGAATTCGATAAATATGAAGTACGAGGTTTACCTAATGGTGTTGAAGATTGTTGCCGATTTAAATTCGATAATCTATAACTAACAGAAGAGGTAGAAGACGGTGATATCACTACTGGTTGCTGTCTTTGTGATTTAGGCGAGAGCGCAGTTTGTGATTGATTTTGATGTGACCGAGCCGTTAAACGTGGACAGTTTGTCCCATTAGTTTTATTAGGATCTTGTTTATTAATTTGTTTCTTGGCCAGTATGACAGGTTTCCCCAAAGTACGTTTTGAATGATCAATAACCGAATTTTTAGATACATTATTTTTAGTTACAGAATTCGAAAGTCTACTTTGATTCAAGTTATCATCTGAAGAACAGATGTTATCAACTAAATGCTTAGAGTTTTGAAAATTTTTCAATCTTTCTGATTGATTTACATTTCCTATTGACTTTCTTGTAGCTACTCTTACAGACGAGATAGATAATTGATTAGGTGAATGACAGCTCTTGACATAATTCTTAAATGAATTACTAGCAATAGTAATTTTTTCTTCTGCAGCTACACTGCTACGTAAACATTTGAATTTCATCACTGAAAATTGTCTTGTAGAACTATGACTATTAATATGTGTACATTCCTGTAATTGATTCCGTTGATATCGTTCATGTTGAATAATTTGTTTTTCATTATGATTTTGTTGATTTAATTCATTACTTAAATTCATTTCAGATGTTAATCCATTATTATTTGTTGCATATATATAACCTTTAGATGTGAACATATTTGTTATGACATCGGAATATAAATTTCTATTGATTATAAGATTATTCATTTGTTTAAAATAAGATAAATCAATTATTGATTGATTAATTGATTTTTGATTTTGTAAATATTTTATTTTATAATAATTTTCTAACCAATACTTATTACTATTATTCAATATATAAGTAGTATATTTGTGACAAAATTGTTTAATATTTATAAAGAAATTTAGTTTATTAATATATAAATTTCTTGATAAAATAATTGAATAATACATTTTTATATTATTTATAATGAGCATAGAATAATCATAATTATCGATTATTTTCTTCTTATTATTATTATCATCATCATCATTTATTGATAAGATATATTTCTTATGTAATTTATAATCAATGTGTAAAGGATATAATAATGGATACTTTTTATATGTAGTTAATTTGTTTAGAAATATTAAAGAATAATAATGTTTATTAAGGTTATGATTACAATGAATGAATGTTGAATGTTTCCCATTTTTCGAATTTAGAATACAAAAACATTTTGATATTCCAATGTTATTATTATTACTAATATTTGTATATGTATCTTTGTTACCAATTAAATGATCTGTCCTAATGTTATTATTATTATTATTCTTCATTATTCTCAAATAGATGAGAAGAAATGTTTAAGATTACCTTGAAGATTGAAGTCTGAATGATGATAATAATGATAATAGTTTAGATTAGAAATAAACCATTCACGTTAGCCACTTAATTCCAATTAACCATTTTTTCCCTAAACACTCTATTATGTGTTTTTTATTTATTTAAAAAAATCACTTGTTTGGATCGATAATTGGAATTAATCGATCATATCAATACTGAATGTAATTAAATTATACAGTTGTGTTTAGTTGATGATGTCTGAGATGTGATGAAAGAAGTATATTTTATTATGACAAAAGCGAGAGAGAGTGAAATTTTGTTCTACGTCAGTGAAGTTAATTATTGTTTAATGAATTGTCAAGAATTCAATAGCTAAGAGAATGATAAGTCTTGTTACAAATACGTTGAAATCGTCTTTCTAGACGGTTTCAATAAGCATAAACTATTTCTATATGTCATATGGAGCAAAATAGAAAGGATATGAATTGTGAGTAAAAGCCTTATTTCAAGATTAGGTGATATACAAAGAAAAACGATGGTATTTATAAAGTCAATCTCGACCATGGGTTTCTAGAAATTTCTAAAACCATACCAAGTATAGTAGCAGTATAAGTAAATATTCAATCAAAATCATGATGTCATCCTGCATTTTCTAGATGTTTCTGCGAAGTTTCTATTCGACGCTGATCGGATTGAATGTTTTCTGGAGTTTCTGCGCCTCTAGAGACATTTACGAGAGATGCCCTGGGACTCTCGCAACAGTGGGATGAAAGATGAAAGAACTATGTCAAACTCTAGGTTTGGATTTACCATACATCGACAAGTGATGCTTACAAAAAACTCTCACTTTATATTATTTTGATTTGAGCCCGCTATAAACATGATTCTTGAGTTGATAATTTTTTTCACTTGATTGCCCAGTAGAAAATCCGTAGATTGACTCAAATGTGTAAACAGATGGCGATGTTTGATGGAAACATTGAGTAAACATAATCTTCCGAATGATTTGAATATCACTTACAAGGATATTGGAGACACATTTTTCTTAAAAGAATAAAGTTCGGGACACCAGTTTGTAGGAAAGCTAATACGATCTTGGGGCTTGTCAATTCGCAAGCCCAATCTGATACCAAAGTTTATAAATCCCGATTACTTTCATATAGTATCTTTGGTTTATCTCGATACGTAACAGGACTCGTTTGACAACATGACATTAAACGTTGGATAGGAAGCGTGTTAGGAAATTGATATATTACATGTAAATTCATTCAACAGATCCCATGTACGGTGTACAGAACTTGTATGATGTCAAAATTATACATAGCATATGTGGTCGTGAAACGCTGCTGTAGCATGGATGTAAACTTCGCAGTCAAAATCAGTGGATAAGTAATTGTCTGAGTCTATATATAACACTAGATGATATATTTTATTTCTATTTGGGATATTTCAGGAGAAACAATATGACTAATCTCAACACAAATATTACATTATTAGTTGACAACTGCTAGAAAGATTTTAAGTTGTTATCTAGTTTTTGACATTAAATGTTAATTTCAAGCAGAGATGGATAGTACCTAAGAATAGAATCCAGGAATCCTGTTTCATCCTGTTTGGGACTCGTCAGCTGAGCGTTCCTGTATTAAAGAGTTAATGTTCCGGGACTCAAACGAAGTGCCGTTCGCTTCAAATGTTATCGCAATATCCATTTAACTACTGGTCTACTGACTTATGCAATCGGGTGAAGTTTAATTCCTCTTGTCTTGGTTGTTTGAATCTTCCGATTGACACTTAGGACTGCCATTGATCAGTGTCTTAATGGTACATGTGATTGCTGTGTGGAATGCCTCAATATTGCCTTAAGACACGAGCATTATAAACAACAAACGAATTAAATGTTAATTTCTTTTCTGTAACGACAGACTCAAGTACACTTTTTCTGGTCTATATTTCAACATAATTTTTGATGTTTTCTTAATGGTTGTTACCGCTTCTAGTTTTCTAATTTTCTGTATATTCTAAGGTCACATTTTGTTATATGTACAAAGATGCTTCATTCCAGTTGGTTTTTCGTTGAAGTATCAAGTTTCTCTGCGCCCACTTCATTTTGCAGTTCGAAATAGGTCACATTTGTATTAGAATAACCTCGATAGTTTGTGATTTGTAATTACTGTAGGCCCAACCAAACATCAATTCTTAATAGTTGCCTACAAGATTTAACAAATGCCTTGAAGAACAAATATTATATAACTCACTGTTAAATTGTTTACTATCAATAATTAAATAAAACAAATATTTTAATCCACACATCACCTTAAAAAAATATTTACCTTGATAGAACTTTTCTGTCTCGATTCTTCTTGAAGTGAATTCAAAGCAGATAATGTCGAATCAGACCCCAGTTTTATTGAAACAGTAGTTTCATCTTGATAAGTACTATAGAAATTTGGAGAAAAAGCGAGTAAAGTTAATTTCTGTGCATCATTTATACAAAATTATATGGTTCCTAAAAATATTGATCGTTTTAACCATTAGCCTAGATACTGTATCCCTCCATTTCACTCTTCACAGTCTTCACTAATTCTCAGTCAAGTACACTAAGAAATATCGATTTTAATAGATGACTTTCAAGCAATTGGGTTATATATGCTTGATCTACAATCTATCTGACAAAGTTTATTGAACAATCATATTGTGATGTTATTATGCATCAAACACAAAAGATAGTTGCTCACATTCGACTGAATAAACTTGCAAACTATGTTTTGATTAATTGAGCATAATTTAATTTATGTTGTGAAACATCTCTGTTTTGACTAACCTATATTTTATTTCATCGGGTAATTTACCATGCAGGAAAAATATTTTTATTCAATAATACATCTAGAATAGACATTATTATTATTTTTTGTTATTTGATCACTTGTTAGGATCGTTAACTAGTTCTAATACTGGGAGAAGTAAATGTTCAACGTACTATGATTACCAGCAATGACAATTCATGGTGAAAACTACCAAAAAAAAAAAGTTCATTTAAGATTTCAACTGCTTCTTTATGTTGGGGTTTCATCTAAAACTCTGCGTAAACATGACTTACGTTCATACTTGAACCTAGTAATCGGGGATTTTTTTAGGCTGAAGTAACCTGCTTTGGTTCATAAATTATGATTGAGTCTAACTGTTCTGATCGGGCACCTTCTCACTATACAATCACATAACATAATTACAAGTTTAGTAGTTAAGTGAGCTATAGAACGATTGGTTGACTAAAGAGTTACGACTTTTTCTCAAAGGAACTTCATAATAAACTATCTATTAAAAATTGGGAATGATGAAACTTTGAAAACCAATATCTGGTGAATCAGGATATACATATACGTATAATCTGCATTTATTAAACAGTGGATTTACAGTATTATTACATTTTTAATTATATGCATTCATTTTTATCTTATTAACGGTTGATATTGTCGTTTATTATCAATAAACTACAATTTACTGATTGTATACCTGTTGCTTAGTCTTATATACCACACATGATCTAGTTTGAAATTTATTACATATGGTTTTTTATTGTGCTGCATTAAATGTATAACATTATGTGCGTCAGCGTGAATAACAGGAGGCACATTGTGTTCCGGGGATAGAACTAATTAACCTTATCATTAATTGTAGATATGATGTAGAAATTATTGTTATTGTGGTAAGTGGAATAAACGACACTATTCCTCAAGTAGATCATCTTTGACAGTATTGTTAATCGATTTCGAGTCGTTGATTATAATAAAGTACATTGATAATGTACACTAGTGATGAACACGCACACACAGTCAAAAGAAGCCGGTAATAAGTTTAAATAATAAACCATGCTATTAACTTTATGAAACACCGAGATTAACCAAAACGTCTCCAATGTCCAAGTAACCCGTTGTATCCAACGCTTCCGACTGTCTTCCCGTTCATCTACTAGGTGAGTGTTGAATATCAGAACGTACATTCACTGAAAATTTAATTTCAAGGGTCTGCAGTTATCCGCAGAACTCTGGTGTGAATATATCGGTGTAACATACACACAATATATCAGATTAAATAAAGAAATACAAATATGATGAGAGTTGGAGGTTGAAATGAAATCTGTAGTGAAAATTATCACTCTAATGTGTAGTACATAACCACTTAATGAACAGAAAAAGTAAACGGAAGTGCTAGATACAGCACCTTACTTGAACAACGGAAAATGTGACAAATAGCCCCGACCTTGTTTGATAATTAACAGTAACATTATTGAACAAAGTCACACACATATAATTTACTTACTTATTAGAGTATTCAAGGTATTGATTTATTCGATTTAAATAAGTATAGGAACAACAAAATTGACGCAGTAAAACTGTTGTATCCGAATGAGCATTTATGCTGCTCCAATTGACTATTTTAGATAAATTAACCAAATGATTATGAATACATGACATATACAACAATTTAAACTGAATTTCCTGTATATGAGATGAAAAAACAATACAGATAAATAAGGATAATGGTAACAATGTAAATTATTCTGCGTAGATTTTCTACACTTTGAAAAAGAATATGTTGTCATTTAGTCGTATGACTGTCGTATGAGATTTACTTAAAGTAAATCAAAGATCATTACAGTTAATTGTCGAGAAATGAATACTTTTCATTGAAAAATAACGGATTGAAAAGTACATCCTTCGAAGTGTAAATCCAATCCAATTGGGTTGAAAGGAGATTTTTGAATAAATTAACTAAGTGAGTTTATGAGATTTTGAATTTGCTTCAATTGAGGTGACTAAGAATTATGTACGCTGAACTCATACCCTTACTGTGGAGTACCTTGTTAGGTGAAGAATGAATGTATAGTGACCACAAATCACGACACCGAAGTCAGCTAATTTGATGTTATCTGTTGACGTATATCGTATCACAATCATAATACGTCACTGAATCATTTTATTCGTCGTTACCAACTAAGAAACATGATATTTTTGACTAGTTTCCATGGTATTCAACTAGTATGCTTTATTTTCTTACATAAAACAATAACTAAACGTTCACCACGAGATTGGAAAGTCCTAGGGGTAGAGTTCTGTGAGAAGTCTCATGGTAGGACGAGATGTCTGTCTAATGCTCCCTGATTTTCAGTAGTACTCGACTGGGATCAATCTAAGATCTATAAAATATAACCAAAAGGTTGGATTTTAAATATATTTATTCTTTTCCAGGGATTGGAAATTTACTGAAGTAGGTCCGTGAATTAGAGTAGTAGTTTAGTGTTATGTTACGTTATCTGTAGTTCAGTACGTGCCTACAATACTTGTGGAGTTAGGAATGACTAAACTACTCCTATATGATTTGCGCTGTAATTGATAAAGGCAATCAGTGCACAAAATGTCAACACCTGACGATCAACGCTGGCAGATGAAATGCAAGAAAACTTTATATTATTGGTATAACAAACATTACAAAACGGAATGGTACAACTCAGTATAAACAGTAAGGAGAACATGATCTTCAAGTATACAGAAATTTAGTTTACTAAAAGCAATCGGAATCAATTAGAGAATGGAAGAACTGATGCTGACAATTGAATTTTTAAAAAGGCACTTGGAGTTATCGCTTTAAAAAAATATTTAAGCATCATTTACACACTTTGAGGAATCTTATGATCATCCGAGCACTTGCTCATTAAAATACTTGGGTTTCAACCAATAAGACTTATGTTCAGACTTCATCTAACCTACTTTGATTCAAGCATTCAAGTAGTAAATAGCCCTTTTCCCTCACACCTAATATGACTTAAGGCAAATTACATAAATTAATATTACGCAAATGAGATATATTATCACCATTTGTAGATAGTCGTTCTCAGTGTAAAGATCGATTTTGAAAAATAAGAGAATCAGACTCAAGTCTTCTTATCATTAGACCAATATTCCATTTACATACAATGAGTATCATTACAAAAATTTTCAAATATTCAAGACAATGAAGAATTGGATCAATCAATCAATTGTTTATTCATATGGTTAATAAAAAGAAAAAACATCAGGATTAGCGAACCAATGAAAAAAAAAACAATAACAAACATTTCTTTAAATTATCAGAATGGGTTTTGTGGAGATTTGAGAAATTTCACAGATTGAAATCATCAGTCAATTGAAGCTAGACCACCATGGAAAACCTGGAAGCACTGGACGACCGTTTCGTCCTAGTATGGGACTCCTCAGCAGTGAGCGTCCACGGTCCCTCACTGCGCACTACTGAGGAGTCCCATACTAGGACGAAACGGCCGTCCAGTGCTTCCAGGTTTTATTGATCGTCTAGCTCCAATCGACTCATGATTTCAATAAGTGAAATTCCTTTAAATTACCTGAATATTGTTCAATGAAGTACATCTCCTCTGATTAATTTGATGACATGGATATTGTATACACATAATATCATCAACATCGACTAATAACATCATTTTCATTTGATCAATTAAAAATTTCACATTTGTCTTGATATATATTAAAATCTCTTCACATTCATGTTTAATCGTTTGTGTTAACTGATTAATATATACTTGTAGACAATTTATAAGTAGTATTGATAAATCTAATTGTATTTGTACATTGATATTATTCACATAATAAACAATAATATTTTCATATTCACTGTGACAAATTTGAAGTAACTCTTCAATTTTTATTAATTGATCTAAATACATCTATAACAGTAATATTAATAGTAGTATGATAAGAAATTATTAAAAAAAGTAGTTGGGTTTAATTTTTTAAGGAAAAAGGAAAGATGAATAGAAAATATATTATAATAAGAGATTGATATCACTAATTAGTACTATGATTCACTTCAGTTCACACAACTTGAGATACCGAAATATAAATTCCAGGTAAACTTTCACTATACTCTCTTTGTAACTATTGAATCAGCACCAAAAAAAGTGAGTAGAATTAAGCAGAAGTTTTTTTTATTTGGAGTTCAACTGACAATGGTATAAGGTGGAAGTGTATGGGAACTTTTTTTTGAGTGTCCTTGGGAGTTAACCAGTGAATATACGAATTTCGTACATTTATATTTAAATGCATGGATGAAGTTTAAAGTTATTCCAATGAGGATTTAAACAGTTATGTAGGTTGATTTGAATTGAATTCTTGAGAAATAGTGCATTCACCAACAGTAAGAGAATACAAATGAAAGTTAAGTATGGCTTGAGAACATTTTTGTCTTCATTTGTGATCAATACACAAAGCTTAATAAAAAATATCTTAAAAATGATAGAATAACTTCAACATTTTATTCAAGAAAACTGTCCAGTATAAACCGAAAACTACAATCTATTTGCCTTGTTATGAGGTTTCCCATACTAATACTGATGTACAAGTATCCATTCTATACCTGAGACCGAACCAGGTACTGGAGATTATTAAGAGTGAGGATGAAGCCTTGTTAACTAAAAGAGAATCAAGAATATATATACACTTATTTAAGAATATACATCTCTTTGCTTTTGAAAATAAAGTCACATTTCCAATCAGTGGAATGTGTCTCAGTTCCTAGGAAATAAAGCTGAATCTTTGTCAATAACTTGCTCTTATCTTTTGATTGGCACAATGTATCACTATATGAAGTGCTGTGTTTCTAGAAATAATTACTCTTAAATCGTTTACGTCAAGAGTAAACTTCCTTTATTCCATAGGATTAAATGTGAATTAGTCTATGTAATTCTGTTTGTTGTTCAAATATGAGATCCAATGATCAATCATAACTATCTCATCGATTTGTCTACACTTAAGAGTTAGAAACGATTATGGTTCACACAGAGAAATATCTATCACCTCTGACCAACTTAAGAAATAAATCTTTCAAATTCCATACTCATTAATAACGCTGTGAGTAGCACGGAAAAACACTGATCTTAATCAATAAACTTTGGAAAATGTCTAAAGGATTGCTAAACGGCCGTCTAGTGCTTCCAGGTTTTCTATGGTGGTCTAGCTTCAATTGACTCATGATCTCAACTTTTGAGATTGTTAAAGAACCATATGTAATTGAAACAGAAGAATTAAATTTTTTTTTGGATTACAGTTCATTCATTTTCGACATTAATATCCACAAACTCAAGACTCCGGATTTCTGTTTGCATATTCTGATGTTTGTTTTACACTCACTTTAAATGAATTAAAACAAACCTACAATTAAAAAAAACCCACTTCTGCATTTTCTTTGAGTTCATCATTGAATGATGATGATAGTACTGTTTCGTCTATAAAATGTACAATCCATTCTGAAATCATATCTATTCGACGTTGTAATGTAGTTAAATAAATTTGATTTTGTTCAAAACTTAATGTATTCTTTTTGTCGTCAACTTTGTATTTATTCAAAGCTTTGAGACGTTCTTCTTGTTCATTGATTAACACATTCATGGAAGACACATTACTAATATTATTATATATAAAAGGATTTCTATGACATATTGTACAGAGTACTTGAGATATAGATGGAAGAAATATCTCATTCGTTATATAACAGTTATGTATAATACCATCATTCACTTCATCAGGAACGATAGACGATGAAGATGATGAATTTTTAAATGTTCCCATCAAACCATTGATAACATCATGTGAACAGTTTTTGTCTTCGTTAACAAATAGGCTGTTGAATAATATTTGTTGTCTTTTCAATTCGTCTATCACTTCTTGATAATTAAAAGACCATAAAGACTGATGTATATCTACAAATGAAAAAAATACAAGAGACAAATAACTTCACAAGAACCAATATGGGCAAGATAGAATAAACCCTATTTCAATTTAATCAGTATTTTACGACTACTTGTGAGTGGGAAAGCAGCAGGACCTGACAATATACCAGCTGAAGCACTAAAGTCAAACATAGAAGTAACCACAAAAATGCTCCACATTCTATTGAGGAAGATTCGGGAGGAAGAACAAGTGCCAACAGACTGGAAAGAAGGATACCTCATCAAGATACCGAAGAAAGGAGATCTAAGCAAGTGTGGGAACTACGGAGTTATCAAAACTACTATCGATACCAGGAAAGGTTTCGAACGATGTTGCTGAACCGGATGAAAAATTCAGTAGACGTAAAACTTCGAGATCAACAGACCGTATTCTACAAGGATTGATCGTACACAAACCAAATAGCGACACTACGAACAATCAATCCAATAGAACTCGTTACTATATAACAAATTACTTGATTATGAGAAAGCACTTGACAGTATGAATAGGAGGACATTTTGGAAACTTGTTCGACGCTATGGTGTACCTGAGAAAATTGTCAACACCATCCGGATTTCATATGACGGACTACAGTGCAAAGTAGTGCATGTAGAACAGTGAACAGGTGCATTCAAAGTAAGGACCGTGGTTGACTGGATTATGAAGATCTTTGCATATGAGAGGAAGCACAGAATACAATGGACAGCTCGAACTCACCTAGACGGTTTGGACTTTACAGATCACCTAACTCTTCTATCTCATACACAGTGACAAATGAAGGTGAAAACAACTAGTGTAGCAGCGGCCACTGCAGCAGTAAGCCTCAACACACAAAAGAAACATCATGATCCTGAAATACAACACGGCGAACACTAACGCAAGCACACCTGATCGTGAAGCTCTGGTAGAGGCGGAATCTTTCAGGTTCCTGGGCAGTACCATCAACGAACAAGGAGGATCTGATGCAGACATAAAGGCAAGGATTAACAAAGTAAGGGCAGCGTTTCTACAGTTGGATAACACATAGAACTCAAAATAACTGTCCGTCAACCAATATCAAAGTTAGAATCTTCAACACAAACGTCAAGATAGCCCTACCGTATGGAGCTAAAACTTCGAGAATTACCACAACCATCATCAAAAAGGTACAACTAACTACAAAAACTTGTCTACGCAAGATACTCAATGTCTGTTGACCGGATATAATCAGCAGCAGCCTACTGTGGGAGAGAACAAACGAGCTTCCTGCTGAAGTGAAAATTAGGAAAACAGATTGAAGTAGATAGGGCATACATTGTGAGTCACCAAACTGCATTACAAGGTAAGAATTAACTTGGAATTCTGAAAGAAAACGGAAGAGAGGAAGACAAAAGAACACATTACGTCGCAAAATAGAAGCAGATATGAAAAGGATGAATAACAACTGGAAAGAGCTGGAAAGGATTGCCCAGGACAGATTTGGATGGGGAATACTGGTGGGCGACCTATGCTCCTCTACGAGGCATGCTTGCGAACATTTTTCTACACTCAGTGATCACGAGATGCAAATCAATGAAATTTACTGTTAATCTGCACAGTCTTCAAACCATTATAAGCAATTAAAATTTGTGCACAAACTTCTTATATGACTCATATCGAACTTGAGAATGAAAACACATAGTTTATTAATATACAAACTTATACTACTAATAAGTAATCCATTTAGGAAAGACTTACATGAAAATCCGAATTTCTGTGGATATACTTGACTCATAACATTTGATAATTCCACATTATTTAACAAAGCATTAACATTATTGCATACAGATACAAAATGTATCCATTGATTCATAATTATATGTAACACTGATTTAAGCTGATGTAAACAAATACCAAGAATAAGCCAATCACTTGTCAAAATAGTGTTTGGCAAAATAGCAGCATTGTTAATTTGGTTACAGATTGTCTGATGAGATCTTTTTACAGTGAATGAGTACGTAGAAACATAAATGAATAATGGTTCTAATTGAACATATTCATTATACCATGACTATAATTGAAGAAAGAAAAATAAATAATGGAAACTGTTATTATTTGTCGAGTAAACGGTGAGAGGTGATCATCTTGGTAAGTATTTATGTATACAATACAACATTACATGGAAGAAAATGGGTCAAAAGTTGCACTAGATTTAGATCTTTTGCTGGTAGATACTCGTCAGAGATGTGTATCTGAAGTCGTGATGAAACTGATACACATCGTGAGATTTGGACCAGCATCATTCTGTGTTATACACGCGGAAATTTTACTGTTGAGTTAATCAAACTACAAACTATTTCGTTTGAGACTGAAGTAATTACGCTTACTGGTCACTGAGTAATAACCAATATAGCGTTTGTCTAACCCTTAATGATGATAGAATTCTATCGACTAAGTGGAAATGTGGTCAATTTAGTTTAATTCTTTAATGATATGAAAACTAGGTTTAATAATCTCTGTTGATCACCTTCAACCCAATTAGCATCAAAACACGATATATGCGATGTCGAACCATTTACAATGAAATTGTAGTCAGCCAACAAGATTTGACAAACATGGCGCTGGCTATTACTCAGCAACTGGTCACAGTATATGGTTGGCTGACGTTAGATACTGATAGCCGTTTTCACATTTGTGGATTTAATCTTCAGTGTTTATTGAAATCAGACTAAAGTTTCTCAAGATTTGTAGTCTGGTTGGCAGTATTTAAAGCTTCGATAATCAATAAACATTTAAAATCGTCATAAACCCTTACGTAATCAAATACAACTGAATATTATGCACACCTATTTTTTTCTTATAATTCTACAAATATACAAAATACAGTTGGAAAGATTAGTTTCTATTCCACTATCGATTCATAGATTCTCTATCAAACTGATCAGTTAATTGATCAAATTAAGATACACCAGATGAAAAAGTTTGATATATATACGACGTCTGCATAGAGTATATCACCGACGTTGAAGTATTTTTGATTCTAAATTATTAAGTTTCATCCAAGAAAGTTTGATTCCATTGAATAAATAGATTTAAGTGGGAAATCCCAACTTCACGTTAATAGACTGTGTCCAAATAACTACGATTTTATATTATGAATTCATTCCGAATTATAATAAAATCAAACTTATAATCTAGTCAAGATCAGGGTAGTGGCTCAACATTTCAAAATATTCAAAACCCGCTCTTCTTACTTAGATTCTAGCAACCGGATAGTAGTATCATTAGCCATCACAAAAAACAATGGAAACACGATGAATAATTAATGAATTATCGATCAACTATGTATAAGTTTCCTATCTATTGTAAAATAAACTAAGTGGTCAATTCCCAGAATAAATTCAAAAAATCTGAGTTCTAGACAAAACAATCAGAACTGTGATTATCTAATGATTGATATTTATGTTAATAAACTTTATTTATTAATTTAAACACAAAAATATTGGTGCAAGGAGACGATAAATATAAATGTTTCACACAAATAGTTTAATTCATATGACGAATGGGATGCTATTCGGGTGCTCATACTGGAGAAAGTTGATTTCTTAGGGGGCCATGCGCCGAGCCTTTGATATAAAGGTCTAATCCAAAAGGTGGTGGAGCAACTTTGGGACATGCAGTCCTATAGTAACCGGCTACCATCAATAAGGTTATATGTCATTTGTTTCCCTAGGATTCTGGAACCCCTGTGCATCATTGGTTTTAAATCATGGTTTTCCAACTTCTCTAGGTGGATCCTTCGTATCCACCAACCCGGTTAAGAAGCTGTACATTCACTTTTTGTCCTCTCAGTTTTGTAAACAACACCCGTGCCGAGTAAAGGCGTTGAGTAGGACTTCCATGGTAGTTGCTGTGTACGTGTGGCCATATGAGAGCATTGAGAGAGAGAGAACGAACTCCCCCCACCCTTAGTCGTGTCAGGGCATTTGGGGGGTGAAGCAGTGTGTGTCGGTCAATTAACGTAGTAGTAATTTTCAAATAACAAAATGACATAGATTATATAACAGAAAAATTACTTTCATTCAGCAAAATTATCATACTCACATTCACATTGATACACTGCTTAATAATATCATCTAATTTGAATTTGAATGGGTGCTCATTGGTTGTTACAAACAAACTCTCGATTGAACGGATAATATTTTGTTCTAATAAATTAAATCTTTGTAACAGATATGAATTTACACAACTACAACAATCATCTTTGCTGTTTATCACATTCTTGTTGATCATGTTATCATTAGTGAAATATTTCATGAAGTTATTGAAGTATTCTAATTTTACATTGAACATTATTGACTTAGATGATAATAAATTATACAAATTGTGAATGCCACCATTAAATAAATTAATTGAAATAGTATTTTTAATTGTTTCCACTAAATTCATGATATTGTCAATTTGAGAATTACAAAGTTCCAATTCGTTTTCATTCGATGATAATAGATCAGTTGGATATAATTGAATTGATTGTAAATATTCTATTGAATTTATCCAATGTATACGTTCATGTTTTATTCGACATAAATATAAGTTTGTTAATTGAATCAAATTGGAAATTTCCTCATTCAATGAAAATGTTGATTCTTTAATCGATTTAGTAGAAAATTCTTTTACATTAGACAATAAAGTATGTTGATAAGCAGATTTAGCTAGATTAATCAAAGATAAACTAGGTGGTATGTGATCAAAAACAGGATTATCAAGGTTAAGGTTGGTATTCCCAACAATATTACTATATAGATGTGAACTACATATGCAATGATTATCAATTAACAACTCTTTAATATTTGCCTCACATATATCTTTGGATTGTTGTAATTGATGCATAATACTAGCGTAAAATGTCTGAGACTTTCCGAACTGATCGATATGAATTTGAATATTAGAGTAAAGCTGTTCCAGTCTTTCTACTACAGTAAGATGAATTGTAGTAAATTCCGTTAGTAATGACTTCGTGGATAACTGAAAGAAAAGAATTGGTCGTACTATAAAACGCAAGACACAATTATTTTAATAAACATATTAAACTACTCATAAGTACTTGACAGTAAATTAATGCGAAAACGAAATAACCGGAAAAGACCAAGTAATTTACAATGTTGTATGTGATATATAGTATGAAGACAACCGTAGTTCCGTATGCTGTGAGTTTCGATGAGGTTACGATGTGCTTTTCTGTTGGACTGATGATATGTTGAAGACCATTATAAATGGTATACTTGTAATCATCGTATACTTTCGTTGTTTTACATAAGGGTTTGATACCATCTATACAATTCTCATTATATTAATATATTGTGATAATCAATGTGAAGTCTATTTACACAAGTTTGAGCTACTTTCTATGTTGAACTATTGACTAGAACTATTTTATTTTATTATTTCTATCGCTGAAAGTACACCTGTCTTCTTACTATCAATTTGTACTTTTCACCTATTATGTGTAGTTATATGACTCTATTCCATTGTGACCATTGACTCATGAACTGGCTTGATTAGTTTAGTGTTTTCATACAAATATTCTTGTACATCAGAGTAGAGACTTATGACAATTTAATTGACAACAATATTATTCACTTATATATTTTGTTCCACTTGTATTTTAAACAGTTAATTACAAATGATGTAATAATCTATGTTGCCAACATTCTAAAACAACACAGAAAAAGATGATTAACCAAATAAACAGTGGAATATTTGAAATGACTCTAAAAATGACGATGAGAAGTAAACGGAAATAATTGAGCTCAAAAGGAACAAATGATATTCCAGTACGTAAAATTTATCTTGAAACATAGGTGAGGGGGAGTTATGAATAGATCTGTAACGTTGCTATTGATTTCAGGATGTTACCTAGTTTGTAGTGAACTGTAAATACAAAGCCTATATTTTTTTATGTAGCCCGAATATGCCCATCGTAAAACATGAAGATTTTGTGTTGTACTAAGACTCATGTTCACGAATTCAGAAAGCCTAGTTGACTTTTCTCAGCTTATGTTGGTTGTGGCGTAAACGAGATATCCATCTCCCTATCAACTAAAGGACGAGTTTACTGCGCAAGATTTTGCTTTATTATACTTCATTGTCGTGAAACATGGCGTTTAAAAGTAGAGGATATTCGTAGGTCACTAGTATTCGATCATAGGTGACTTTAAACCATTCCCTGCATGTTTTAGAACCATCTAGTCAGCAATTTTGAAGTTAGATGTAGAGTACTAGGTAAGTGTGGCAAATCAATTGACGAGATAGTGAATTTTTTTATTGAAACGGTTAGGACATTTAGTACATATGCCTATTCACCGACTACCTTTATGCGCTAAGATAACTGACATAGTACGTTGAGAGAACGATAGGGGCGATCAAACCAAAACATGACATCAGTTCATGAAGATGCTGACTATTGGGTCGAGTCATTTAGTTAGGTATGATTATCTTAATCAATCGTAACAAGCTTTAAGTGATATGGTTCAAAATCGTTCGCAATGGCTCAGGTGTATTCACTGATTCTTTGTCTTCCCTTAGATCTAAAGTTCCCAAATTCTTCATGAATGTTTCATTCCACTAATTCATATTTTCTTCTCGAATTTTATCTTCTATGTATAATCTTTTCTAATACAATTAATACTAATACAACCATTACTACTCTAAGGATTTACCTTAACAATTTCATCTCGCTGTACTAATGAGGTAAATCAACTTGGATCGACATATATATATATATATATATATATATATATATATATATATATATATATATATATATATATATATATATATATGCCTAGTTCTATATTCCGTTTGAAAATTTAAAAATAAATAACACTTAAAACAACTATTTCATTAAATCCTTATTCATTTGTATTAATCTAAACAGTTACCTGAATATATTCACAAATGAAACATTTCAAATTACATTGACATAAATCTAAAATTCTTTTACCATAATTTATAAACTGTTGAAAAATTGACTGGTCAGTCTGAATCATAACATTATTATCGTTATTATTATTATTATTATTATTATTATTATTATTATTATATACCCAATATCTCTTTAAAACATCAATTTCATTTAAAAAATTTAACAATAAAGATGTGATCAAATGATGACGATGATGATGATCATGGACAAATGATTTAGAATCATGAAAATTTTTGATCAAATTAAATTGTTCATTTATTTGTTGTAGAAAATTTACTCGTCCATATAAATGAATTAATTGATGTAAAAATTGGTAAAATTTAATTAAATTTTCAATGACTACTGATTTTAGACAATTATTATTATTATTATTATTATTATTATTATTATTATTATTATTATTATTATTATTTGATAACAATAATTGATCATTTTCAATAGAATCATTATATTCAATAATATTGTTATATAATTGAACATTGATAAAATTTAATTTTTCTAATAGGGTATTCAATGTTTCATTTTTCAATAAATATTGATTAATTTGATTGATGGGAATTTTATGAAAATCAATGATTATTTTTAATGTATTCATTTGTGTTAATTTTGAATTGGATATAAATTGTTCCGTTTTATTTCTTAATGATATTAAACGTGAATTAAAATGTTTTCTTAAATTTTCATTGGTCTAATCGAGAGAGAGAGAGAGAGAGAGAGTGAGTGATTGAGAAACATGTATATATGAGAAATATTTAAAAATTTATAATTATTTTTGGTATGAATGACAAATTCTATTTATGATGAACATTTTTGAGAATCTATGATGCAAACTGTTATGTCCCAACAAGAATAATGAATGGTAACTTTTGGGATCCATTTACGGACCAATACTAAACGTATATTCCTATCGTATAATTATTAAGTAACTAAACTGTGCATATTCATATTCCTCTTATTATAAGCTTTATTTTGACCCATAAACTATTATTATACGTCTTACCATTCTTGAGTTATACCCAGTATATTAATTACTACCTCCCTTATTCACAGTCACATCTGGCTAATCGTTGTACAAATGTTCTTTCATATTTTATTGGTACGTTGTGGTCTGTTTGATTGATATATAAACTCAGTATATTTGAAATATAATGATTCATATTGCAGAGGCTGAGACTGGTGTTCTGAACTTAGCTGGCTGGATTAGGCGAAAAGCAGGACCAATCAGGACTCTAGACTGCTCGCACGTGTTTTACGAGTCCTTGGTCCGATCGATAATTCACTGCCCCTGATTGGCGGCTTTGGGCTATAACACAAAACAGTTTGAGTTATCATTTTCTAAAAATAAATGTAACTTTCAAGTCATTTACAAATGAATAAGCTCAAAAAGAAAATCTTATCAATAAAATTTCTGGTGAATAACAATGACTAGTAAAATTATTTGATGTTGGAATAGAGTAGAATAACTCGTTTATCAGGTACAGATTTATGTTCTTGGCTTTGAGCTGTATTCCAAGCGTGACATGTAGTGATACAATCTAGCTGTGCAAATCAAAGTAGATGGAGGGGGTTTGAACATGTCCCCTAGTAGATGAAAGTAGAGTCTAGTAGATATGGAGCCAGTCCCTCTACTCAACCATGTTAAGAATGAGGTAGACATCAGTGGCAAGGAGAGATAATGGTTTAGCGATATCATATATTGTCCGAAGTTGATATATGTGAATCGACTTAGAAATTAATCTATTCAAATCCTAAGATAAAATACGATCATATTATCAGTACTATACCAATACATAAGATTATCAATTAAAAAGGACAATAGTAAATCGAATAATAACTAATACATAGAGCATGTGAGAAATATGTGTCAAAACACATTGTCATGTCACATCAGTAGAGAAATATGAAGTTAAAATAAAGTGAATGATAAAGAAGTCAAACCATAAATTCTGGTTCTTGAACCTCAACTAGATAGTCTGGATCTACCAACATGGCTTAGTACTTTACACTTAACTTTATTATTGCTTACCTGGTTTTTGTTCCCCCATTTGAGATCAGTAGTTTTAGAATACCTATGATCCAATATTTAAAAGAGACTTACAAGATGAGTATTAATGTATTTATTGGTTCTTAATACTCTTTTGAATCGAACACATAAATGAGATTAGTTTGTATGATAAACTGAGATCATACAGTTTCTTCAAACAATCAACTTCAAACTGATGGCTCAAAAATTGCAACTGCGTTTTAACTCCTGTAATTCTTAAAAAAAAACTGAAGGGCGTCACTAGCCCTGACCAAATGAATTAAACATTTTCATTTCATTATACAGATCGATAAAAACGTAATTAAGATCAAAGATGTTTCCCTAATCATCTATTCAACGAATTTTATTTGTTCTTAGCTTCATAATAATAGATAGTTTTATAAATCAATTACATATAAGTTGAACTTGAATAAGTTATTTGGAAGCAATTACAACATAGTTAATCAAATTGAAGTGATCGATCTCATTGGAATATTAATCTTGAGACCGTTTCTTTTAAAATCTATCCCTGGAACGGTTGTGAGTTTAGACTGTTAAGGATTTTAATATTAGAACAAAAGACCTGTTTAGTGCTTTCTAATTTTCAATGGTACTTTATCAACTAAGATCAATCTATTATAAAATATAACCTACAAATCCGAATTTAATTTATTACTCACATTTTTCACATTCAATAGTTCAGTGAAAATATACTTTGAGAAAAAATTCTTATCTACATCTGTATATATCGTTATATCAGGATATTTTATATTGAACACTTCGATTTCAATGAATAATTGATTAAAACACAAATTTAATTGTTCATATTTATTAAGATCAGTTAATAAATTGATTTGTACTTGTTTCAATGTTTCCATATATTTCTTGCATTGAACAATTTGTTCTGAATAAGAAACTGTTACATTATTGTTATCATCATCATCATTATCACAATTTTTATAGTTGATCCATAATTGTTGTTCTAAATTGTATAATTCCAATAGAATAGGTAAACGAATTTCTAATTGACGATATAAATTTTGAGTTAGATCATAAAGGATTTGATTAGAGATTCCATTCAATTGAATAAATTTCAAATCATGATCAGAAAATCTTTTCATAATTAAATTGAACCAATCATGAAAATGGGAGTATAAAACATTGAAAATGATTGAATAATTTTCATGATTAATAGACAATTGTAAAATATTTCTTAGAATAATTTGTTGATAATGATTTAGAATTTGTTTATATTGTAATAGACAATCATTATACACTTTAATAATCCATTGACTTGAATTCATAAGACGGGAATAAAATAAATAATTTTGACAATGTAATTCATTCTTGTTCAATTGATCAATGTACAATTTTAAATTGTTTAATTGAATCATTTTCTCATTAATATATAAATCACTAATGATGTCATCAATTTCATTGAATCCTTTAATATTTCGATATAAATCATTTGAATATTGTTTCATTTGAATTTTATATTGTTTCATAATATAATCAAGTTGATTGTTTTTTGATATAATCCATAATGTTAAATCATTTATACAATTTTCTAATAATTGAATATAGAAAATTTGTTGATTGAATTCAACTAGTAAATTGAACAACCATTCAATTATTAAATCCAAAAATATTTTAAACTCTTTATTCCAAAATGTATTATTATTATTATCGTTATGATTGAAAAATTCCAAAGATGATGACGTCTTCTGAGTACTTTCGATAAGATCTACAATATTTTCATGACTATTCATTGTATTTATATGAAGTAATTCATTAGTCAATGATTGACCTTCACACAAAATAGCCTCACAAATAGGTATTAAACTTTTAAAAGATTTAAAAATGTTTTCTATCCAACTTTTATAATATAATAATGCATCTAAAGAATTTGCAGAAATTAAAATATTGTACGATACTTGAATTGGTGATATAAATTTTATATCATTAATAAACTGATTCTTTTTATTAGTCTCTAATAGTAGATAATCCAATTTGAATTGAGGTGGATTTGGCATTGGTGTTTCAGGTAATCGATTCCATAAGTTTTGTATATGCACTTTATTCAGTAGTATATTGAAATTTAGAGAAGATAAAATAAACAATTAACTAATTAAACAGAGTTATAAAATAGTATAAAAGGATTTTTTTTATAACCTTGACTGATAAGTGGATACTGTTTATTTAAGATCTAAATAGAAACTGCAACCAATAGAGATGTTGTATCAAATAATTAAGAATTGGCTGCAGTGACACAGATAAGTTCATTTTATAATCTTCCTTTAAATCTTGTATTCCAGTATTCCCTCTTACATAATTTCTTATTGAGTTTTCTAAAATCATAACAGTACAAGTCTAACTTCAATCAATTTATAATATTATTCTACCATAGTCTATTGCTTGTAGTGGATAATAGTATTACACTTAACATGGTTGAACTTCACTAATCATGCCTTCTCACAAGAACACTTGGAATCGCTTCCAAAAATTGGTCACTATACTAATGGATTATTATGGACATAGAAGTATTGTAGAGATTATTACATTTTCATCGCTTACGCCACTTGCTAATATCTTAATTAGATCGCTATTGAAAAAACTTAGAAGTTAATTATTTATAATAATAATACCTGATTCTGGGTCTGTAAGGTATATAAATCATTGAATCAGTAACAATGATAAGCTGGACATTCATATCTTGACGAAAAACTCATGAAGCTTTCGCTATGTTCTCAGAGATTTAACTTATTAGTTAATGCACGAAATAATCATTGAGATAGAAATCTAAACATCCATTTTAATTACTAAATCCTAAAATCGTTTTAATCCAAATTTTATCTTCATTAGAAGATTTGAAAATTGATGACAACCAATGGAGTTTTGCCGCAGTTGGTTATGGTATTTAACTGTTAACCACGAAGTTGTATGATCAAACTAAATCATTTTGAACAACCGGGTAGTGATCAGGTATTACAGGGCAATCTTAATTGATTACCTGGTAGTGTTAATTAACATGGGATGAACGTATCGGTACTATTAAATACAAAAAGAAAACCCATTCAGTATTTTTAATCAAACAAAACTTGTCATTAAAAATTTATCAGATTTGAAGTAGATTTACATTTAAAGAGAAAAAAGTAGTAAAAATCATGCTGAACAACGTACCATTGAACCAATCTACTTGAGTGCTTAATCGTTTCCATCGGTCCAGCAGACTATGACAGTTTGCAGACCATATCATTAATTTATGGTTTAAATCTAAACCTTGCGTGATAAGATCTGTAATTTGTTGTTGATGTTGAATGCGTGATTTACATTCTTCATACTGTAGTGGTTGGTTATCCTCTGTCGTAGTGTTGCTGGATTCGTTCAGGAGATGTAATCGATAACAAATAGAATAAATCTGAGAAAATAAGGCCTATGAAATTTTAGAAAATAAAGATGAGTTGTAAGATGAGCACAAAGGTAGAGAATGTAAATGGTAATAATAATAATAAATCCTGAAAATTATAACAGAATTCGCACCAACGTACATACATAGTCGGTTTGGTACAAAAAGAGAGAAAACATTAAAAAAGAAAACAAGAGTACATTATTCGAACACATGTTATGCAACGAAAATTCCTTTAAGTGAACACAATGGTAATGAAGTTGTTTAAATAATATAATATGAAACATACAACAATTCACTTGACCGAGATAACATTTTAAAGTATAGAAATATTGACGGAATACACACCAAAGCAATCATTAATTTGAGTGGACTCGCCGTCAGGAAGCGAAATAGTAATGCATGGTGAACATAATCAGATTTACCAAGAAGTTGGTATAAGTTTCAAGTCGTTTATCTATTAGAAGGGTTCCATCAGTCACATTAAAATAACTTCACCTTGATAACTGGTTTTGAGGCTTACGTTGTGAACATTCGTGTAATTTTATCATTTTTAAGCTGGGGCATCCTTTGTGATTACTGGTCGATATTTATTTAAGAGTCGATTTCGGTAAAAAGTTACATAAAAATATAATAATTCGTGTGAAATGTCTACAGAAAGTAAACTAAATTTCTGAACATTGAGTCCTGAACCAAGATTACTCTTGATTTAATTGTGTCACCTAATTTCAATGAAATAATCTTTTGTTTCTTTAATGATGGATTGAACTTTGCAGAATTGTTGTACGAGTTTTGATTCGTTAAATATTTCCCTCAAATATTCAGTATTAAACGCCCTTAGTACATGATTAAGTAGAGTATAAAGTGTAATTATGCAATGAATTGACCAAACGTATTCATCAAACTTTACTTAACAATAATTAAGGTTAAAGACATGTTCTATTCACAGTTTATTAACCTCCAAAAATCAAAGGATGAGTTTGAAGAAATTTTAAAATCAGTCAACAAACCCCAGAGTTAGGCTGAGAAAATATTTAGCCAACAAACAAATGTGAATGTAGACTTGATTTTGGTACTGTTTATCATATATCTTATTTGATTCAATAAAGCCAATGTTTTGATAGCACCAGTAACTAAAGTCATTCCACCTAGAATTTTACTCAAAAAAACCAATTTACAAATTCAAACTGAACAGATTTTAACACACTCAAATACAAGCCAAAAAATCATGTACAGCTTTAAAAAAACCCTCATTATGAGCATCAAGTCTAAAGATGATGCGGGACAAGTATGAAAAACCAACTTTCGAAATCTTTGAGAAAAATGTTCTATTTTATTTAACTTCTCATTATCTTCCTCTAGTTAGCTGGCCGTTGACTTATAGATGTGTTAAAGATTGATTCTTTCTTTGGGTCACATCACTATGTATCAACAATTGTAATTGCTTTTGTGGTACAGGTTATATTGATTATACAAAGCAAGCAGTCTTTGGACGCATTGCGGAGTATTACCGTGAGTAGCATTTTAAAGGAGATTGTAAAACCACCAATAATTCAATAATTAAAAACTTTCATCAACTCCGATCACATTGGTAACAGTAGAAATATCTCCCATAGTCAAACTATTGAATTCGACGTGAGAATTAATCAATAACTTGTGTATTACAGAAGTGTTAGTTATTTATCAATTCAAACTAGAAAAATATGCGTAAAAGTAGAATGCACAAACTCCCTTAAACTTAGCATTTTTAGAATATCAAAATTTATTGTTAATGTTTTTTCAAAGTTATTTATTGCTATCGGCTTCATGTTTTTTTTTGAAGTTTATTCTTCTCGTTTTTTATGCTCATCAAGCGGACAATTATCTTTTATATATTAGTCATAACTTTTACCATGTTTTTAAAACATATTTGTAAGGAAAAAACTCATCGTTTGCTAGCTGATACTTGTTATATGTAATGTGCAATCCGGAAATTGTATTCGATCAATACAATATAGATTTATTAGAAAACATTGGAGAGCGAAGTTGAGTTTGTCTTGGCGCCAGACTACCTGGTTAAGGTCTATATAATCAACATACCAATAGTTGTAGATGAACAAAGTGGTTTACAATCGGTTTTAATGACACAGATACTTTACCTCAGAACATTTATTTGAAGATTTAATTCTTTCTGCCCGAATCATATTATCTATATCAAATCTTTCCTATTACGACAACCAATGATATTGTTAGTATTTAGACAATTCGGGTATTTATCTTAATAACTTTATCTGGATGTACCGATGTGAGTATGAGACTCTTTAGCAGTGCGCATCCACAATCCCGTACCAAAAAAAACTCGGACATGGGACCTTCTGCCTTAACCTCTAGGCCACTGAGCCGGGATCCAAAGGTGTTAATGTCTAACTTCAATCCATTCATGATCCTGAACAACACTTCATCCATGGCGAAAACAACAACATTGAATTAAATCTAATTCAACTTACCAAATTCTTATTATATCTATTTTCTAATTCTTTCATTGTTAGTACTGGTATATTAACTAACGATTCAATGACAATGATTAAATATTTGAAAATCTGTACAGTTTTTAATGAATTCATAGTTATTGATGTTTTTACACAGCTAAATGAATCCATGATGATTAGATTTTTCAATTTATTATTAGACATTATGACATCATCATTATCATTATCATGAATGGGATCATTTAATTTGACATTACTTTCTATTGTTTTAATGATATTTAATGGAAAATTAATTAATTGATTAAAACAATCAATAAATGAATTTAATAGATTAAATAAATTTATTGAATATTGATCAGAATTATATTTATTTAATAAATAAATTGTAGTAAATTGTATTAAAAATTCATTAGATTGTTGATTGATTGAATGATAAAAATTAGATGGATTTATTTGATTTAAAATATATTGTAAATAATTGAATTCATTTAATAGAATTATCTATTTAAAACAAAAATAATAAAAGAAATAATAATTAAATTATATTTAAAAAGAATAATTATTTAATGAATAATACTATTTATGGCTTGTAGTCTCCTATCTTTAAATACTCTTAGAGTTATCAGTATAGGGGTTGTGGAGATTATTAAGTTTTTTGATTGAGATTATGAAACGATTGATATTAGACCACCGTTGGAGACCTGGAAGCACTGGACGCCCGTTTCGTCCTATTGTGGGACTAGGGATCAGCAGATTCCATGTTCGAATCCTGGCAGACTCGATTGGATTTCCAAATACCATTATAACACAATTACATACGTAATCCCCGTCCATTTTTCCCACAATAGGATAAAACGGCCGTCCAGTGCTTTCGGGTTTCCAACGGTGGTCTAACATCAATCGGTTCATGATCTCAATCAAAAACTCTTAGAATTATTCTATTGATAGGCGTGATGAACGGTAAGATTCTAAATTGGATAAGATGAATAAACAACAACTGTCCTACTAGTTATCTACAGTTTATTAATTAAATGAACATTATCGAATTCAGATGAGGCTAATTATTTCAGGAATAATAATTGAACAGCAGTCTTTGTGTGTATCTATAAATCTAATGTTAAATTCACTTGGTATTGTTTGTTTGTATCTTCCCATTGTTGTTAAAAATTGTAATTAATCAGTCTCTTGTTGGCATACATGCATCCTGTGCTGATTGTCTTCATATTGCCCGAAAGTCTAACCTCTAGAGCAGTGATCCGGCATCCAACGGCATTAGTGTTTAACTTCAATCAATCCATGATCTTGTACAACCCTTCGTAAATTTTGCTTAACTTCTCTATATTATAAATAATATATATATTAAATTACAGTTAATCAGTAAAGATATTTAAATCATACAATAATAAAAATCTTACCAGATGATTGTTATTTGAAGCATCCATGAAGTTATTACTCGAATTCTTTTTAAATGTATTCTTTATTCGACTAACACTATACACACTTAATATATCATAAATAAATAATAATGATTTGTAGGCAAAGTAGAAAATAAGTATCAAAATACGTGAATAAATCATTTCTATGCATAATAAATCTGTTGTTTTAAATAAAGTACACCATAAATTTGGTAATGGAAATGGTTCTTGCTCAATAGAGGATAATTTTGACAAATGTTTATTTAAATCTCTAATTGATGAATGAATTTCATTAGTCAATATGATTAATTGATCAAATAAACCAGAGGATGTATTTTCGAAATAAATAGTTACCATGTTCTATAATTTAAGAAAAAAAGAGTAAAGGAAATGAAACAATTGGAGTGTTTTATCACAAAAAAAAGAAAAGACACTTTACATGACGAAATGAATTTAGTTAAATGACAAGTGAAAGTAAGAAAGTAGCGGATATAATGGTACTAGAAAATGATTATACAATATCACGAATCGATTGGAGTTAGAAGCGTAAACTATTTAATCTTAACTCAGTGATCTGAAGGTTAAGCATTTGCTAAGAGACATAAAGGTCGTGGATGTGCACTATTGAGTCCAATACTAGGATAAAACAGCTGTTCAGTGTTTTCTAATTTTTAAGGGTTGTATAGCCAAGATCAGTTCGCGATGCAAACTAGAAAATCTAAGTATTTCCATAAAGCCTTTAAACGACAAACAAATATAAAATTGATGATAATAATCTAATAATGTGGATTGAAGAGATCAACTCATAAGTAAGGAAAGGTTTCATCATGAATCAATGTCAACTGGGGCAAATCATTGAAAACAAGAGAGCACTTCACAAGGCTTTTATCCTGTTAATGGGATCGTCGAAAATATGCATCCACGAACCCGCCAATTATCAGAAGTATGACTTTCAACTCTCTCTCTCTCTTGGCGTTGTCTGACATCTAACAGTTTACATTAGCCGATTATAATCGATTCGCAACATAGCGTTGTCGTGATCGAATATTATTAGTGATAGTAACTCGTTCAAACATTCGAGCTATCTATCATTTTGCAGTTATATGATAAAAATTTTCGTTTTACATTTCTTTTAACTCCTTAATTATAGATGTCAACCATATGTCTTCCAGGAGCTCGAAACCTATCGCTAGGTTACTTACTGAAAAATTCGAAAGGAATCAACATTACAGCAATTGCTACTTTTCCCCTCTAGTGTGTTGTTTAAACGAACAAATAAAGTTTATCAGGAAGGGGGTTTTAAGGAGATTGTAGTAATTTAATAGTTAAATTTATGAGTTTATTAGAACTAGACCACCATGGAAAACCTGGAAGCATTGGACTGTTGGGGAGTCTCATACTAAGACGAAACGGCCGTCCAGTACTCATGAATTCAACTAACAAATAACATTTACATTAGGATCAACCCATGTATCAAATAAATATTGTACGGAGAAATAAACTATCACTGGAATAAAACTAGTCAAGAACGTTGTTGGATGAAGATGAATGGTATATTACAACACACTGTTGAAAAACTATATATATATATATATATATATATATATATATATATATATATATATATATATATATATATATATATATATAACTTTCAATATTCAGTAGTTAAATGGATAATAAAATGGGACTTATAACAGTATTTAAAATTTTATGTTGTGAATTATTTGCTGTAATTATATATATGTTATTTAATAAAACAATTATTATTTTAGTGCATTTGGTATGTGGTTAGCAAGACGCGCGTTTCGTCCTGTTCGGGACTTGTTGGATGGACACATCTTCAGCATGACATCTATACTCACACTCAAACTCAAACTCTATACCTTTTGTTTCAAACGTCCAACGTATTATCCGCTAAACTATTAAGTCACAATAAGACATCTAATTGTTCAAAAGAGACTGATGTTTCTGTTTCATGCTTTAAAATATTCCGCACCATGTGCATGAGTATATATAGTTCGCATTCATAACTATTTAGTTAAAATAAACTCAAAACAGGTAAACCTAGAGTTGGGAAACTAGATTGATAAAACATTTAAACAAACTTTTGGGAACTCTTGAGAATTCCTAAGAAGCTGGAAAATGGTTGAAAATACCTCTTTCAGTTAGCATTCAATGAAAACGTTTCATAAACCTCTCAAATATGAGAGATTTCTGGGAAACTAGTAAGAGTTTAGAAAGTCAGCATTGGGCGTTCAAGTACCAGACAAAAGAATAGAGACTGCTATCAATCAATTTCATAAGAAGTTATCAAGTTACTATTACTATGAAATACAATAATTGAATATAAAAGTCAACAAACTTACATTATCCACCAATTTCATGAAATCATCGGCTAAGTTAAACTGTTTGCTATTTATTTTCATATTTAAAATAATTTCGTTAAAATATTTCCACATATTGGTTAGATTATGTTCTATAAATGTTAATTCATTTTGTTCAATAGTTAAATCATTTTTATCAGATGTAGTATTGAAGTAGTTCAGGATACGATCTAAATAGATTATCAATGGAGAATGAAGTGGATTCAAGATAGATAGCTGAGTTTCATCATCAAAGATATTTTGATCGATATTCAACTCATTATCTAAATTGATATTGTTTAGTACTGTAAGATTGGTTTTGTTAAAATTGATTAAACTCGATTGAAATCTCTTGGTAATCTGCAGTAAATTCTAAAATTGTTCAAGGTTGTTATTTGAAGGAAAAACAGAAAAAAAACGGAGAGGAAACATTGATAAATTGGATCAATGAGAAAATAATCGACACTACTAATCTACTACTATTGATAATAATATTCATAATAATAACAAGATTAGGTAGCATACCAGCCACTAGGAATTCAAAATATAATAAGAAATACAAAACACTAGGATGAAGACTTTAAACAAATCAATGTTATTATTCTTACCATGATAATTGTGAAATCAAGCATCTTGTTGAAAATAAAAAAATACTGACGGAGAATATCTCGACAAAATGTATCTTTGTGATTTCAATTTCCATTTAGAAAAAAAAACGTAATCTAGTTACTAAGTACAGGATTTATTTAGTCGGTCCTAAGTTATAGATTTTTAGTTGATTATTATTTGAATCACGGTAGATGAAGATCGAGTTTTGATGTCGTAACTCAGGCGTTGAGATGTTGAGATCTTCCAGTTAGAAAAAAAATGACAAAGTGGTGCCCCTTGATATCTAGGCATAAAAACTACCATCCGTGGATAGTTTACAAAATATTATTAGGTGCAATTTAGTTCATGAATAGTAATACATTTCTATGAATAGTAAAAGAAAACTATTACTCACGTTATACGATTTTGAAAGCAATGTATGCAGTGAACAGTCATTCAACATAAAATTGACACCTTTTTCTGTACTACATGAGGATAATGATGAAGCATCAATATCATTGGATATGTGCAAATATGATGAAACGGAAGCATAGAAATTTCCCTTATGCGAAGTTTCTTTCATTGAACCGAGATAGTGATCGTCAGAGAGGAACTGTTTAGTACATCTATCCTCCAACCTGTTCTCAGTTTGAATAGGTGTATTGTTTTTACAACAAACCCTGTAGAAAGATAGCAAAATGAAACAATAAGTTGCTTTGAAATTAAAAATAATCATACTTAGTATCAAAAGTTTAGATACAAACGCATTTTATTCATTTAAAGTTAACAGTGTATTATATAATTCAATACGTGAGTTGTGGAGATTGTTGGAATTTATCACAACCACGAACCAGCCTATATTAGACAACCACTAGTAAATTGAAAGCACTCAATACATGTTTCGTCCTTACGTGGAACTCCTTGGCAGTGGAAATCCACGACCCTGCTAAATGGGACCAAACCAAGGACTCTCGGTTCTGCGAGCGAACGCTAAATCACTACCGATTGATATTCAAGCACGACTCTTTTTTGATAAAATCGCTTAAAAATAAACAATGTGATTCCGTCAACAATTTACCAGTGTTCCAATAGTCAACTTAAACTTCCAATTATCATTTATCCAGTCATAAAAAATTTGATTCATGTTGACTATATTTTTGTTTATCTATAAAATCGTATTCTTGAATGGCTTTATGAAATAGGAATACCAATTTGGAGGTCTTTGAAATAAAGTAACGTACTAATTCAATTTGCTTCATTTCTTAGCCATAAAATTAAAGAGGAAGGTATTACGAAGTGCACATGATCAAGAACACCAGTTTATGGTTGATTTTTGTTGTCTTAAACGATCTTCATTCAGGATCTCTTTTTCACTTCCATCTACATACTAGAACAATAATAAATGACTAATTAAATTACTATCAACACTGCTCTTTTCTTCGAATCTAGTTGTATTGTAGAAAGAGTCGCGTGTGTCAGACACGGTGATTTAAAAGACATGAAATACATCATTCGCCTTCACTGTGGAAGACTTACTATTTCGTCGACCTATCCATTCTACTTAGGATTTTGTATTTAACATCAACATCATTTAAACCGACAGTTCAACTGAACGCGAGCAATGCTTTAGAAACGGATATGGACAATTATCTTTAATTTATGCATATCTTTGAAAATTAGTAGAACAAGAGTAGAATTATACCTGGTATACCCATTATATGATCAACAGTTTCATACCAAAATAAAGCTCATCATGGTGTTATGTCTTTCATCGCCGTAACTACACTAATAATCAACTCAAATATCATTGATAAAGATATATTATCATACGGCAACTAATATGTATACAAAACGCAATCTGTTTTGATTCCAACCTTTGACAGAATAACTCAGAAAAGACATATTTATTTGAACTATCAAATGATAATGATCTGAGTTTCTGATGTAACTCATCACTGATTACTGTTGATGAGTGTCGTATTAATAAATTCCTACAATTCATGTAAAATTTGAAAGTTATATTTTTACTGTCTTACTCATATTCCTGAATAAAACTTGAAAAATTCTCTATCAATTTTTCCTTCTTAGTTGTCCAATCTTTTATAGCATGACCATTATCATGTGTAAGATTGAAATCTTTGTCAAAACCGATTGATGTAGGCTACAAAAACGAAAATGGAATAAATCAACATATCAAATAGGAGTATTAATGAAGAATAGTTTAGTGAATAATTTGAAATACGTAAAATATCATATTCAAAATGATGAAAAATTAAAAGAAGCCAGTCATACTGTAACTAAAATAAACTTTACATCTACGATAAAAGTCTCATACACTAAATGTTTCAAACATTGATCTTTAAGCCAATTATCCCCAAACTTTTGAAATCTTCGACATTTTAAATGTAAACGAAAGTTATCAAGAAGTTTAACTTTCAAGGGTAGATTAACTACACAAAATAAAGTAGGTTATCAGTGACTATGAATTTTTAGAAACGTCTAAGAGAAATGTCAAGATTCATAACAATTTTCGATACTTGACAAACTAATAGAATAACAGTAGAGTATATTAGGTTGACTTCTAGAATTAGTAAGAATTTTTCCAGATCGCTGATTGCCCTAAAGTGATTTTGGATATACTCTGATTTCTAAGAGATTTTTGAAATCAATCATATGAATACCTTTTCAATCTAATGACATCGACATTATTCTACACAATGAATATTGAGAGAGAAATTATTGTTGTATGGATGAAGCCTTTAAACTCAGTTTCTTAATTATTGAACATTTATTAACAGTACACATTTGAATAAAAATGGAAGTAGATGTATAGAAATCTAGTTCAGGAACTCATTTATTTTACATTCTGTATCATTAGTAATACTCATCTTAGAAAGGTATGACCCATCGGTACAGAAAACTTTATATACAACTAATCCTGTCCAGACAATTGATATCAATAAATCCTCAGATAAAATAAATTCAGCGAAATAAAATTTAAACGGAAAACAATCTATTTTAACACATGAAATATATACTCATGAATATTATTTGTAAAGAATGGTGGATGGGCGCAAACAGTGAATTTAGAGATGCGCGTTTCATCCTATTTGGGATTGGTCAGCTGGATGCACCTGCATCCCAGATTTGATATTCACCTCTGAACTCGAAAGCAGTACAGACCAAACACATGAACAAATACTTACGAATGACATGATTTTATCAGGTGAATTATTCTTTGAATCGATAACTCCCGGTACTATTTCTTTGATAATTTGTGTGCTTATTTCTTCCAAATTTGAGTTATTTTCTTCATTTTGTGAATAAAATAAAGTAGATGAAGTCGATTCAGTGCATGGTGATTGTATGGAATTCCTGGAATGCTTAAGATTAGAAATTATGTCAGTAATTAGTGCATCATTGTTTTTAATCAGTTTCTTATTTTCGAAGAAACTTGACGAACAATTCAGTGACAGATCACTCTTCCCTAAAAAATATGTTAAACTGATTGGATGGTCTGTAATAATTTCTGTACAATGGACACTTGATATTAATGATGATGATGAATTGGATCGTTTATGAATTTTTATCTTTACCGGAGGACATTTCAAAGCTGTATTAGAACATAAACTTTGAGTACGGTAACGATGAATGGAAGGCTTGTAATTCCAATGTTGTATAAAATTAACTTGTAATTGATTTAATACAGTTAAACGATTATGTAGATTGGTTAGACGACTAAAAATAAAAATTTTGGCAAATAAATGAACATTTTAATGTCATAATAACACTTTTCAAAATAATGAAATATATTTGTGATAAGTTAATGATCCCGCATGCGGGACGTGGTTGCGCACTGTTGAGGAGTCCCATACTAGGATGAAATGACCATCCAGTGCTTCCAGGTTTTCTATGGTGGTCTATTTCAGATCGACTCGTGAATTTGAACTAAAAAATACTACAATCTCCACAAATCCCGATACTGATAATATTTTAACTGGTAGAAATCAGAATTCCTGATGTTTCACAACTGAGGTTAGGTCGCTTCTTCAGAGACTAAATAAGTAGATAACTGTTGCTAAATTAACACATGGTTAAATGGTATAAAAAGAATGAAAAAGGATGTTTATTTCAATCGAAATGTAAAAATAAATCTTGATTATGTCAAAATAATGTCACTTTTGAATAAAGCGATTATTTTGTATGATGATATCACTGTGCACAATTGTACAAATACGAGTGAATATGCAAAGTATGAAATTTGCAATGTGAAGAAAAGTTGAAGTATGTTTATGTGTATTAATGATGTGAAAAATTTATAGAATCAGAATGCCGTTATTTGGATAAACGACTCAAGTTAGATGGATAGTCAGACTTTCCATTCCTATGGAAGGCAGCGGAATAAAACAACTAAACCAAATGCCTTCCTTTTTAATTGCTTAAAAGCTTCTTCAATTATTTTGACATTTTTAATATTGATTTGATGGTTATTAAAAATAACATGAACTACTATTTTCAATTTAATTTATAGATTCTTCAGTACTACAGGATGATTAGGATGTCTTTTTATTAGCTCAAGTGTTCCTTGGCACGATTCCAGATTTAGCGAGAAGACTACCTAATATAGAAAGGAACACAATCAACGGGACATATTCTGTAGACGCGATTCCACGTAGATCTAAAAAGAAGTCTTTTCATTTTTTCGAATTATAGAATTTTAAAGAGTTATGGTGGTTTATGGAAAGTCTGAATTCTGTATATTCTCATCAAAATCAGTTGTTATTCGTCTTATTAGAATACTACTGAAAGTATATAAATTTGATTACTTTTGTTTTATATTGTATTTCTGTGGATTTCAGAACAATTTAGAGAGCTTTCACACTTTTTGAGATAAAATTTTATGTTAAATACCTTCACCAGTGAACATACTGTGTTTAAAATTATTGGTTAGAACAAAGTCAGTTTTCTGAACAACTTAAATGAGTATCCTACACTTGATATATACTCTATCACCTGTATACTCTATGAAATTAAATTAGAATGTAATTTATTTTTTGATTACAGGTTCATGTGTTCAGCTTTAGGCCAAATTGTTTGTGTGTGGGCTAGTGATACTGTGGTGTGTGCTACTTATATTGACATAAGTAGTATATGATGTTTGCCGTGAACAGAAGGTCTGGCAGCAGAGAGACATGAGGATCGAACAGTAAAGAATGGAATGAAAATGCACGGACAGTGAAGTCTGAGTCATTTTGAGACAATTGGTGGACATTTTGCAAATTAAGCATTTACTTTATGATTGTTAGATTTTATTAACAAGTCCTGTAATTTTGTGTTAAATACATCCGGTTGTTCCCACTCACGTTCTGTTCACTACAATACTACCCACTTATCCAAACTAACGTAGAAGAAGAAAAAGTGAGAGAGGTTTCGAACACGTAACCTACCAGTTAAAAATCGAGTGATTAAACTTTTAGATCATTGTACACTGTATCAGTATTTTACCGACAAGTTTTTATACACAAACTAACGACTTTAGAAAAAAATGATAAAATTAGTCAATCGTAACATAGAAGCTGAAGAGTGGTATTTTTACCGAGACAACTAAAACTCCAAAGGTTTTGTTTCAGATACATGGTAGAGAATTCTAAATAATGAAAACACATTTGGCCAAACACTTCAAACAACTTGACAATAAAGCTAGATTAACAAGTCATGTAATTTAACTGAACGGCAAGCCTAATCGAAAGTGCATGAGTCAGTAAGTAGTACCACAAAAAAATCATATTAAATTAGATATTACTGTACAGTAATGATAAACATTTTTGATCTAAATAGTTACACGAGTTCTAACATCAGCGGCTTGGATGCTAAACGATCTAGATTCTAATTATTATTTGTATATTTTCATCATTACCATAAACATGTCTTGTTAATTAAAATCGGCAAACTGTTAAACTGTTAGACTGTTAGTGCAAAATGTAATCATTAGGAAGTAATCCCTGTATGATACAAAAAATATGAGTCAATAAACAAGCAGATGATTGTTAGGATAAGAATTTGTGGAGTGTTTCTAAAATTACGAATCAGTCTTATTTGGGCAGAGAGCTAATGGAGATCAGGAAGCACAAGACTGAGTTTAACCCTTAGACTAATGTACCAACATCCAATGGTGAATATATATACTTCAATCGATTTGCGGTAATGAGTAACGATTGTTTATTGTCTTTGGTAGGTAACTACCTCACACTCGATACAGAATAGCTCCACTGGTCACGGCTTCTCACTAGAACTTCAGGAGTTTCGTCTCGAAATTCATTACAAGTGTGTACATGATAATTATCAGTTTAGTGGATTGTAGAGATTGCCGAATATTATCGATACCAGCCTGAGTTAGTCAAACATTGAAAACTAGGAAGCACTAGTCGGCTGCTTCGTTGGTGATGGATCGATATAACCATCACTAAAGGTGGCTGCACAATATCGTGAATTGATTGACGTTAGTTATACACACCATTGGATGCTGTCTCGGTGGTCTAAAAGTTAAGAGTTCTCTGATGGACCTGAAAGTAATGGATTTGATCTCCTGTGATGTAAAGGATATGCATCGTCAAGGAGTCTTGTACCAAGACGAAACAGATGTCCAGTGTTTTCTAGTTTTTTACTTTAGTCCATGATCTAAAAAATAAACTGTTACTAAAAATGCATAACAATCACTAACCTGACTATGATATCCCTCACTTGCTTCAAATGTATCACAACAGAATCGTATAAAGGTTCCATATAAATCTGCATTTCTTTCGTATAATAAATATCTGTCAAAGTGTATGTATCACCATTTTCTTTGATAGCTTGAAATTCACCTTCCACTTGATTTATCCAGTAGTGAAAAGCATCTAATATCCCAATATAATCCTGAAAACAAATTTTAGATGAGAAAAAACAATGAGGGAGCAAAAGCTATGAAAAATTTCAATGAAAAAATAGTGGTGACTAGAGAAACGGTAATGAATAAAGTTATTTATTGGAAAGTTTTATGTAATTGAAGAATTATTTTCATCATAATTTGGCACGAGTTCAAAAACCACGGAAATATAATTAGACTGGCTGATTGTCAGACTGAGCAACGAAGTACAATTCGCCTTCCAACCAATAGGTATAAATCTAGTGGATACGATTCTATGACTTAATACCAACAGAGGGTATAGTTGAGCACACAATATCCTCATCGATCGAGAATATTCAAAAAATCAAGTGCGTAATAATCTACTTTCTGTTTTGAATCAATACAGTGGTTCAAGATCAACTCAGTGAAAATGACGAAAACTTTTAATGATTGATAATGACTACAGTATTCACTTGTTAAGTAACGTAATTCATAAATTTGTAAACATACAAGTTAGCTTACTTATATGTAAATGTTTGAATCTTCCCGTTGTTTATGCTAAGAACTGAATTTTGAACACGTTTGGGATGTATGTATATCCAGATGACGATTCGCAAACAGGATGAAATGTACATGCTGGATTACACTGCTAGACACTATCCATCTTTACTTAAAATATTTATGTTAGAGATGAAAAATTTTAGTTTGCGAAAGACATGAGTAATGCAAGGACTACAAGGTTCTCAAGACGTATACTTGGTTTCTGAGAAAAATCTTCCATTATGTTGATACCTAGGTTGTCTTCGCTAGTTGGTTCCATATTAGTTAAAGGTAAAACTGCCACCTTAGTCCACGCATACGTGTTGCCCCCACGAAAAGGAGATTATGTTGAAGGTGAGAGGTGTTTGCTTCCTAAGTGAATCCACCGAGCACTAATTTCTCCGACTATCAGTCAGTGACATACAAAGTACAACCTGAAACGTATGTGAGTCGGCCCAATTTGCCACATGACATTAGCACCGTAAGATAAACTTATGAAGACAAATCTCAGAGTAGCATAAGTAGTCACAATATCAGTAGTAGTAAAATGACTAGATATACAAAAAAAGATATAAGGAGATTACGGGACTCAGTATCTATAGGAAATTAAACAATGAACACAACTTCACTAATTTGAATGATGACGAGCCATATCTATCAGTCACTAACCACTAGTTACGATCATTGTCCCGACTAAAACTAGGTAATTTTTATCTACCCAGTCTAACATTTTGATTTCTAAACAGAAAATAGGAATTTATTAAAAGCTCAATTCTTGAACATCATGCATTTTGTTCATGTAACCCTAGCAAAATAGTCTTTGTACATTATATACAATGTCAAATGAATATGCTTATAGGGACAACAGATAGGATTATTGTGTATAAAATATGCTTTTTATCAAATAACGACAGATCCAACCCATCATTCCTAGTTAGATGTCACATGTTGAGAAACCATTTTTACTTCAAATTTTTTTATTATTCTTTCAGATTGCGATGTAACATCGTTTGGATCATTATTGATGATGTAATAGGTTGCTACATATGTTAAATAATAATATATACGATTGTACAAGTTGCTCAACATTATCAAAATGAAAATGCTCTCTATTAAATTTTTTTACATCGTTCAACCTCAATCAATTCGTCATATGATAACATGTAGGGGTTGGTTGCGCCCGAAACGTTAGATTTTAATCGATCAGTAGAAAGCTTGGCTGTGTTCACTGGAGTTCAAACCGTGTCGGGTGTGAGACAGTTATCCACCCAAGGCAATGGATAAAGAGTTGCGCTAGATCATAGATTGCTAAACATTAACACCGTTAAATGCCGGTTTAGTGGTCTAGAGCCTAAACGTTTGCGCGCGAGACAGAAAGTCCTGGGCTCGAGTTCCACGTGCAGGATCATGGATGTGTACTTCTGAGGAGTCCCATACTAGGACGAAACGGCCGTCCAGTGTTCCCAATGGTGGTATAGCTTAGATCAACTCATGATTTCAATTGTGAAAATACTACAGTCTCTACAAATCCCCATACTGATGAAGCTTAGCGCCTAGATTTCCTGGCTAGCTAGTATTCGTCAACGGGTTGCACTTTCCATCTTGAAGGAAGCGATGCTTCTCATATAAAATAAAGACCTCCACCGTCTAACACAGATCAGTATAAGTATCTCACTTTTCCTCTACATTATATCAGTCATTCTCCTCCTTAAATAACTTAATATTAACGTCGCTTGTGTCATACCACCTAACACTAACAACTATTCAAAGATTATTCTAATGCGATCATCAATCACGTTACCAAGATTTAATTTCAAAGTATTTCATCTTACTTACTTTTATTTGTTTTACTGAATAGAAATCGTTTGAGATCTTATCAATAACTGATTTATAGTAGTGTTCATATTCCCTAAATAAGTGTTCAACTCGATTCCATAGATATCCGATACAATTAATTTGTCGTTCACAATAAATCACGTTTGATATTATCATCTGATAAATATCTAAAGAAAGGCAGTTAAAAAGACAAAAACAAAATGAAATACGTAAAGAAAAAAATTCATGAGAACTAACTTTAATCATAAGAAAATTCTTGTTATTATAGTCTATATTGAAGTTAAATGTTTTGGTGTTTGTCGAACTGACAAGCAATCAATTCTAATGAAGGCTAGATTTTATACTGGTAGTAGTGGGTACTCGTCATCGATCTTGATAGAACTGATGGTTCTGTTGTAGCTATTCAAAACTGTGTCACCATCCAGTGTTACAACTAAAACTAACACCACTGATTTATTTAAATTGTGACTATCTTCCTATCGAAGAACTGAAATATTCACACTGATATATTACTGGGTCAGTAACTAATGTTATATTTGCATTGTCGTTAAGTTCATTCTAAGGACTAGACAAATACGATATTAGTTTTTATTTAGTGATTAATCACAAAGTTTATTTAAATACTACTTCAGGTGCACTTCATAAACGTGCATAGCTAAAGGGACAACCGATTGGAGTTGGCCACACATGGCCTATTTGTGAGTAGTTTTGCATGTGTTGACACTATATATTTCAGAACTCACTACTAGCTGAGAGGATCTGTGTGGCACCCTAGCTTATCCATCTCCTTCCATTGTAGGAAGGTAGCATCGTTTTACTTGATGGTAGTCGGAGATAAATAACGTACTGCCAAAACACCGTTGTACAATCTACAACTTTGCTCTCGGAAATTATAACGGATTGACTGAAGTTGGGAATTCGGACCATTCAAGTTCGAGTCAGTATTCTGAATTTGTCACATATATATCAAAATGTCTAACACACGTGAGGTGACGAATGCCATCATCATTCTATACCGATTTCTCGATAAAACACTTTGAAAGTTTTATATCTCTATATGTTATAGTGATTTAAGTTTGATCAGTTCATGATCACATTTAAGACTCAACAATCTTCACAACCCCATACTGTTTAAGTTTGCTATTGGAGAGATTTTTCCTTGTTCCTTAAGACATTTAAATTTACATTAATTAAACCAAATATAACTTACTACATAATTCATTATTAATCAATTGCTTTGATTCGTTTGTAAGTATGCGTTGTATTGTCATTGAAATTAAGAAGATTGAATCATATTCAATTGTTTTAATAAATGATTCGATTTTCTAAGAAAAAGAACTCGATATTTACTTTAAAATACACAAATAAGTTTTTTTTGTATTTCATGAATAACAGAGTACTAAAACTCAAAATTTAAAGGAAGTTAGAAAAAAAATGCGTGTATCTGTGTAATTTTCATTCAAAGCAACAACCAAGGATGAATTCTTATACTTAGCATTTCTCACTTTATTTGAACAAAAACATTGGTACATTGAGACACCGAATATGTATACATCACACTCCGTCATTCGATTTTTGTGAGGGCTGAGATACTATCCGGGTGCCCAAACCGAAGTATATGGTTTTCTCAGGGGGCTATACTCCGAGCCTTTGACACAGAGGTCTAATCAACAAGGTAGTAGAGCAACGTCAGGAGATGCAGTTCCAAGGTAGCTGATGGCCAACAACAGGTTCATACGCCATTTGTTCCCTTAGGATCCCGGAGACCATGTCTACCATTGGTTTGGAATCATGGTTCTCCAACTTCCCTAGGTGGGTCATCCATATCCACCACCAACCTGGTTAAAGCGCTGTACATTCTCTTTCAGTCCTCTTAATTTCGTAAACAACACCTCTGCCGCGAGAAGGCAATGGGTAGGACTTCCCTGGCAGTGGCCGTATACGCGTGGCCATATAAGAGCATTTCGAGAAGAAGAGATGACGCTCCCCACCCTCAGCCATACCAGTGAAAAGATCAAGTGATTAATGCTAAGGTTAAGCGTAGTGGATTCTAGTGAGGATAGTAAATTAGTTGGAAATCCTCATTTATTGATGTAATTAGGATACGTATTTCACGGTCGACTACCACCCTGTAAAAGGCAGTGTTGCCTGGTGTAGAAGTATGATGGGAGAAATATAGTGACACCTAATCCAAGACATGATTCCAATCAATGAAGACATTAACTGATGGTTTGTGCCTTGAAGATATCATACTCCGTGATTATGATATGCGTGATAAGCGTGATTAATAGTTATGAACTACGGGTGACGTGGCACAAAAATGATTGCGTCAGAGAGAATGCATTTACTGTTTGCTTTCCTCTGGATATCGAGTTTTACTATTCTTTCGTACTTCTTTTTATTTCTAATTTTCAAAATACAGATTCTATGTAGTCACTATTACTCATACTACTTTGGTATTAATCGATTGTTGTGGTAATCTGGTATATCGAGTTAGGTCGATGCATGTTTGTGTTAGATCTAAATGGTCAAGTGATTTCAGCTTTGAGCTATACATTTCTATATGAAGCCTAGTGATACTATTTAGTTGTTTGGACAGTAACAGATTAAACATCAGTGTTAAATATGTAGATATGTTTAATGTAAACCTAATTTGTACATAATTTTTTGCTATTACTCACATTTTTCCGGATTTTGATTTATCCTGTACCATTATAACTATTGACTATAAAATGCGGCAAGACTATAATTTTTGGACGAATCAATGAGATTTAAGATAGTAAGTCTCGGAATTCATTCATATGGTTAAATATCATCTTGGGATTCTATATGATGTCAGTTCATGATGAAAACCCTAACTCTTATTCTTAACCCTAAATTCTGATTCACGGTTCTAATCCTAATTCCATGTACTAATTTATAACCATCTTTTGACCCTAGTAAGCATGTGGATTTTATCAAAGTCACTAGCACCGCTCAAAGGTTATCCACAATTTACAGTCTCACCTAAGATGTTTTTAAATCGATATTAAGTTTCCCTGTACACTTTTTGCATGGTGAAATGATTGTCGTTCATCAAAGACATATATTACTTATCGGTCAACTTCTCTGAAATTCCAATCAGGTCCCTAAATATGCCTATCACATATCTGCACAGCTGGTATTCCTGAACATTATCCTGGTCGAATATCGGTTATAACACTGAAGTATTTTCGGTATTTATAAGCTATCAATTATGGAATTAGTTTTGGATCTGCTGAGGGTGAAACAGTTAAGAAAAATTCGCAAGCAACTTCTTTGTAGTGATCATGTATTCTTGTGTATTATATAATTAACCCATTATTCGTATTTTAATCCATTATACATTTAAGGTTTTGTAGTGAACAAGAACACGGGTGGGGACTAACGGATGTATATAGCACAACAGTTACAGACTATCTCAACAAAATCTGAATACAATATAGTAAATCGTCAATTTGCAAAATATTCATGCATCAGATCAAACTGGACTGTTTCTGTTGCAAACATCAATCCATTGTCTCCCATTCCATTGTTCATGCGTTTTCTTACAAATTCTATTGTGTTCTCGCTCTACCTTTCTTGATCTTCGCCATCTTCTGCTGCCAGACATTACGTTCTTTTAACGCACGTTATGTACTACTTATATCAATATAAGTAGCTCACACCACAGTCTGACTAGTATTGAGTTCAACTGGAATACTGAATTGTATGAGTTCGAATGTCAAGTGTTGCATTACTTGTTTTAATTGTCAGAGATTAAAGGTGCCTTTCTAATGATTTAAAATAATTAGTGTCCATTGCCTCCAGGTTTTTAAGAGTGATATTGTAGTCAACAGAACGTGAGTGGGAACAATCGGATGTATTTAACACAAAATTACAGGACTTGTTAATAAAATCTAACAATCATAAAGTAAATGCTTAATTTGCAAAATGTCCACCAATTGTCTCAAAATGACTCAGACTTCACTGTCCTTGCATTTTCATTCCATTCTTTACTGTTCGATCCTCATGTCTCTCTGCTGCCAGACCTTCTGTTCACGACAAACATCATATACTACTTATGTCAATATAAGTAGCACACATCTCGATATAACTTAGTTCAATTCATCATTCTAACAAAATCCTCACAATCTTTACAACCTCCTTATTAATGGTCATTAATAATAATAATAATAATAATAATAATAATAATAATAATAATAATAATAATAATAATAACAAAACTTACTTTCAACTGTTCAAAATATGATTTTAAGAACTGTTTCATAGTATTGAAACATGCATAAACATTGATAAATGGTGATTGTAATGAATGTGAATCGATTAAATCATCACTATTATTAAGAATATCTTGTTTCATACAACATGAGAACATTTGTTTGATAATTTCAAATTGTACTTTAATCAAATTTAATTTTTCAAAGAAGAATTTACATTGTATATTGTATTGAATTAAAAATTCTCTTCGTCTTGAAGCTAAACTTTTAATAGAATCACAGTTATTTTGTAGTTCAACTGATGTATTATTATTATCATTATTAATTAATGATGAATAAAATAAAGTTAATTGATTATTGAATAATTGAAAACTTTCATGATGAAATTCTAAATTATTTAATTCTTGAAATTTCCATTTAATATGAATTATTAAGTTGATATAATGATTTGGATCTTTCAAAATTATTGATTTTAACTCAATTGAAGTTAGATTTGAAACTAATTGAAGAGCTTCTTCTCGTAGTTGATATATTTCTGAAGTATTTAACTTTTCAAAAGAAAAAAAAGAAAAAAAAAGACAAAAACGAAGTGGTATTTACTGACGAGAAAGCAAACAACTAATATAATTGAAGCTATTTCCATACATTTCATCTGATATTGTTAGAACCTTGTTAAGATAACTAATAATTTGTATCAGAAAGGGTTTTGTGGAGATTGTAGTAATTTTGATAGTTGAGGTCATGAGTCAATTGAAATTAGATCACCATGAAAAACCTGGAAGCACTGGATGGCCGTTTCGTCCAATTATGGAACTCCTCAGCAGTGCGCATCTATGACCAAGTTTTCCGTGGTGGTCTAACTTCAATTGACCCATGATCTCAACTATTGAAATTATTAATTTATCAAAAATTGTAAAATATCTCATTTTCCAATTGTTGAAGTGTATTTTTCATTAAAGAATTTATTTTAATTATCCGGTGTTATTTGCAGACTTCTGTTATAAGCATGTTAGTGTAGCACAACCAGACATCATGAACAAAAAATACAAACATTGAACAACTTAGAGCTTTAAATATAATCTCTAATGAAATTAGATTCTAATATATAGTACTCACCAAATTAATGATGAAAATAAAAGTAGCTGAACATCTTGGATACACTACATTTATCGAACATTGAAAAAGATACAGATCACACAAACATCGTTTTTAATAGATAGATCTATTTCCTTTCATTTTGTTTACACTGAATAATTTACATTTACTTTAAGTGAACAATTAAAGTTAATTATTAAATTATATAATAACTTACATCATGGCTATTAATAAGTGAAACAATATTGTTTGAATTTTTATTGATCAGATCAATGGTTATGGGTTTAATTATTTCTTCACGTATAATACACAATCTCTCTAAAATACTGTTTAATTGTTTCATATAAATATTAGAATAAATTGAATGTATAGTGAACTGATCCAATTTTGTATGAAGTACATCATAGATATCGTCCAATTCTTTCTGTTTGGATCTATTTTGAAAAAAAGGGAAATTTGATCATTTTCTTTTAATTGCTAAGGTTTGACCTTTTTATGATCTTTAAGAAAAAACGTAACAAAAGAATACATGTGTTGTATAACGGTGAACATATTCATAAACGAAGATTTCTAGGGTTATATTTATTGTATAAGGTGTATTCAATTAATGTCAAAGTTAATGTGAAGGTCAGTGGAATACATATATATAATTAATCGGTTTTGATTAGAATGAGTTATATTATGGAAATAATCCTACCGCACAATGCTCATTAGTCAAAAACCTGAATAATTGATGACTTTTAAGTGAAACACTTAATTTAAACAGATTTTTTTTTACCCAGAAACATGCTTAAATTAACTACTAACAGTATTATTAGTTGAAGACCATTTGATTGTGACTGAAAACTTGAAAGCAGTAGACAACAGCTTCGTTTTAGTTTGACTCCTAAGATTTATATACTGTATGCCAAATAAAACCCGGAATTATCATATTTTTCAGGGAGCTCATCAATTTCACATTACGTGATAGAAATTGAACTGTTTACCTCCACAAGTTCAACTTCGTAATAATCTCGAATTCCAATCAATTTATAACATAGCTAGTGTTGTCATTGATGCTTGTTTAATATACCAATGTCCTTATTACGTAATGATAAACATAGAGTTAATTCATCTAGAAACACAAATCTACTCAATAAAGTTTAATTTATTACACAAATACCTATAAATTCATTAGATTAATATTAATTATTAATAAGTAACAGTAGAATTTACTCACTCAATATACATGCCGAAATCTTGTTGGGTCTTAAAATCCACATACAATAAACATTGGTTGGCCACATTTTTTACAGCTTGTAATTTTTTCTGTACACAATTGACTTGATCAATACAGTCCTATAATTAAAGAATGTAAAGAAAGAATCAAGAAAAACTGTAAGGGCCAGGAAAATATTTTGATCATCAGATTTCACAAAATGTATTACTTATGCTTAACCACCGCCTATCTCGATTCATTATGTCAGCTAGTATAGAAGTTGGGAGAAATTTAAAGGCAGAAAAACAAAGTGAGGCATCAGTCTATGTGTCCATTGATTATCAGGCTTAACCATAGTGATAAATCCATATTAACTGGTTGGGGTCTGAAAAGCTGTGGTAACTAATAGTCGGAGATGGATGATGTTGCTCAAAATCATTCACAATAATATGAATGCATTCACTCTAATTACTTAAGCCTGTTAACTCTCGTAGAGTACAAGCTGTCAACCAGGATTCTCCAACCTACTCTGAACAGGACTCTTTTTTTTAGCGGTTGTCAGGTGCTGTTCATTCTTTCCATGTCTACTTCCGATTCTCGACGCAATGTGTACCTTGGTTTTTCTCTTTTCTATTTCCCTTTAGAATTCCAAGTTAGGGCTTGTCTCGTGATGCAATTTGATGATTTCCTCGATGTGCCCAATTCGTCTCCATAGTCTTTCCCTAATTTCGTCTTCAGATGGAAGCTGGTTTGTTCTCTGTTACACTAGGTTATTGCTGATGGCATCCGGTCAACGGACATTGAGTATCTTGCGTAGACAATTGTTTATAAATATGTGTACCTTTATAATGATGGTTGTGGTAGTTCTTCAAGTTTCAGGTTCGTGCTATCGAACTATCTTGTCATTCGTACTAAAGATTCTGACTTTAGGTTGACACTAAGCGACCGGCCATTATGATTCCCTGCTACCCATTTTTAAAAAATTGTGGGGTGTGAATGAGAAATTTAGGTATCGTTGATTGGTGGACTTGTTTTGCAAGTGTGTGCTCAAGTGATAATGAACAAACATTTTGTTACCTCTAATAATGTTGTTATTGGTCGTAAACTGTTAATCTCTGTAATCTGATTAGTTGAAATTGAAATCGCATCTAGAGCTGTGATTGGATGTCAGAATTTTCATTTTTTACATTAGAAATTTAATGATAATGAATAATTCTTTTTGTGTAATCTTAGTCTTGAAAAAAAGTTAGACTTTTGAAGAAGAAGAAGAAGACACCAACTTAATTGCATTACCGTGCAATCCTACTGTTAGTGAATGTGTATTGGGATAAATTTTTGTTTTCCGGTCAAGCAAACCATGAATTGAAGTCGTTAGTTATCTTAACACAAATAATTATATGTATCTCATTAAAAGAAAGTTTTTTTGGAAAAGAGCAACAGAAAACCCGTTTGAATATTTGATAATAGTGATTACTGAATTAGGTCGGTAGTCAAATGTTTAATACTAAATTAATAAACAAATTATCACCAAAGTGTGTGCATAGGTTTTTTAGTAACACATGGTCTGTTCATCGGAGAAATAAATCAACATATCAATAAATCATCATGATAAATTACTGATTGCAATATGTATAATTCAGGTGAAGCAACCGTAGACCATCATTGAATGAACTGACTTTGACAGTATATGAATGTAGTAATAAATTTAACCGAAATAGGCACTTAATATTTAGTAAACGATTATTTTGTAAATGGTCATTCGTAATGAGAATTAGACAACGTTAGATTTAAATGTGGTTAATTTGGAAATCCATTGAAACGGTTTATTGTTTTCACTTGTAAATTATTTGTAGTTCTGCATTTTAAAATTAATATTTTGGTCGTAATCAAAACCAGTGTGTGTTTAATCAGTAATGTGTGAATATTGTTAACCGCCGTAATATGAAACCTGAACTATATCTAGACATTATGAATGTAACCATTTTGACAAGCATTTGAAATATCAGTTTCATGATCTGTAAATGAACAAACCTACGTCGTCTGACTGACTCAACAAATATCTATCGACATTAAACGTATAAATATGAATAAGGTCAACTGTATCAATGAACATTTAAAATGTTATTATTATTTTTTGTCCTTATGATTATTATTATTATTATTATTATTATTATTATTATTATTATTATTATTATTATTATTATTATTATTATTATTATTATTATGTCAATTGACAAGATTCAATTCCCATACTATGTAATATTTCATTGACACAAAATTTTTTGCATTTTAAATTTTCCTATAATGCTCTTCCATTTATTGTGACTAAACACTTTACTGCAAATAATCCCGACCTTTAATGAATGACCTTTCTAATTTGCAAATGTTACAATTTGTAAGTATATAGATATATATAGTAATAGATGTAAACGTTAACCATTGTTAACACATTACATTGTCAAATTCATTAATGCCATGCCTTATTTTTGGACGTTATAAAATATTAAAATTATGGGCTTATAACTGTTTAGTGTGTGGATGAAGTTAATGAAAACGATTGTTCGCTACATTTTATTTTATTTTTGAATATTCTATGAGAATTTTTATTACTGCTACAATCACATTGTAGCAGTCATTAATAGTTGTATAACTGTGCAAATGAATACCTTGATATAATCAGTAGTTATGAGTCACAATGAAGGCTTAGTTGACGATCAGACGTACTTCTTACGTACGCATAGTTCTGGTTTCAGGTTCTTTGAATATAAAACAAGAATATGAAATTCTTGTTTTTTTGTATTCATGAAACGGATAAAATTCTTATTTCTTTTAACACTTACTATATGACCTTTAATCACATGAATCATTTCAATAATGATGGTTTCAACTTGTTTTATAATGTCAGTATTTTAATCACAAATAAGTTAATTTTCTTCTTTGTGTTTACTTCTCTATGAGCTTTAATCACATTCATCTTAGTAATTATATTCACTAATAAATGTTCTCATCAACTTATTGACCTAACGACAAAATTACAATTTTCACTATATTGAAATATTCCTATTAAATTGTACTCAAAATGTACTATTATTAGATAGTTTACAAAAGTGTTACTAAAACATGACCATTAATCACAATATTTTAAATATAAAATTACTAGATTAGTCTTCATTAGATGACAAAATCTTGTTTAAGTTTTCTTAACCTTTATATCTCATAAACGTTAGAAACCAGTTTACGAATACATGAGCGATAATCGCTTTTCCATTATTAATCTCTAAGGGATATCTAAATTCATGAGACATTAATAAGTGCTTAATCACTTGACCTTTGCCGCGGAAAAGTAGTGGATAAAAAATAATGGAAATCAAATTGTTGGTGGCCCTGAAAAGGGCCTTTACTCGTTCTCGCGTTCGGACGTCGTCACTATTAGTTTGTAATTGCGCCACAGATAGGACAGTGCACTGCTCGTACGTTCGGCAATGGGTCGTAGGCACAGAAGGTATGAAACATTGCTTCACATCTACAGAAAACCCAACCAACCGCATCACCGGTTTCACACGGAGGCTGCGCAAGATTACGTATGTCGCACAGTCGATTCTCGTCATCCTCTTCTTCATTTTCGATGTCCCGTTCAGTTAACTCTTCGGAGTTAATAGAAATTACTTCCTCCTCATCGTTAATGAGCGTTTCATCCAAATCAACAGTTCCTACTTGTATCGAGGGCATTGGAACGTTAGTCGAAGTTCTTGAATGGGTATACAAATGCGGTTCTGCGTAATCACCTATCATTTACATTATAAATTGGCAAATTGCGTACCAGGAAGGTTCGCGTGTGAGAACACTTTGTACCGCATATTACAGACATCTTGATCAGTCAGACATTTCCCATAAGATTGGTAAGCGAAATTCTTTACGTGGAATGCAGCGGTACCGGAAATCAGCAGCGGTCTCACAGTTTCAAACTCTTCATCTGTTAACCTGCGCACCCATGAATTACCTTGGTACCTCAGGGAATTGCACTCGTGATTGTGATGCACATATCCACGTACAACAGTCCAATAGCCGTCTATAATCTTACAAAACATGAAGGCCGGACATTGGGTGTTCATAGAAGCCCTTCGTTAAAAAAATTATAAAACCATTTACCAAATTACCTCCTCCGTCTAATACGTTGTGACGAACCGCTAGATCTTATACGCCCATTTCGCCAACACACAAATTTAATGTACGATTTTTGATCTCTGCCAATATGCGAATCTCTCACTACATAATGACTGTAAGTCGATCTTTCAAAATTTGTGATAGTGGTCTTTAACGCTTCAACCGATGGAAACGCAACCAGAAACAAGGTAGTCAAAAAGACTTCCTCCATTTCCGTTACGTGAGAAACACCAGCGTTTGTACTCGGCACGTTAGTCTGCTCCATAATAACGATTGAAATTGTGCTTCGTCAACAAATACTGATAATTTATAACAATTTTCAAGACATAACTAACCAATTAAATCTAATTTTTGAAACTAGCCATTTCATTGGACGAAACACGGGATGAAAAATATTGTAATTTTGGGGTGAAAATTTTTTTTAAAAAAAAAATGGCCGGTCGGACAATATTATTCCTGACTTTAACGTTGGTTGACAGTTTTCTGAGTCCCATATGTTGAATAATATTGTCCGATCGGCCATTTTTTTTAAAGAAAAACCCCCCACCCCAATAAAATTTTCACCCCAAAATTACAATATTTTTCATCCCGTGTTTCGTCCAATGAAATGGCTAGTTTCAAAAATTAGATTTAATTGGTTAGTTATGTCTTGAAAATTGTTATAAATTATCAGTACTTGTCGACGAAGCACAATTGTAATCGTCATTATGGAGCAGAGTAACGTGCCGAGTACAAGCGCTGGTGTTTCTCACGTAACGGAAATGGAGGAAGTCTTTTTGACTACCTTGTTTTTGGTTGCGTTTCCATCGGTTGAAGCGTTAAAGACCACTATCACAAATTTTGAAAGATCGACTTACAGTCATTATGT